ACACACACACACACACACACACACACACACACACACACACACACACACACACACACACACACACACACACACACACACACACACACACACACACACACACACACACACACACACACACACTATATATATATATATAGTTTTAATCTGTTCAAAGTGTTAATCATTGGCTGTTTGTTGAGGATGCCTTTCAACTACCACCACAACAGATTTGAGCTCAGTATCAGAAATTCTGACTTCTTTACATCCATTTGGTGTTGTTGGCTAAATCACCTGCAGCAGCCATCTTGGCTATTAAAGTTAATCATTTGTTTATGTGTATCTAATGGAAACTTTCTTAAGGTTTTATTAAAATGCGTCTTGTGGTCCATGACATAATTTGCTAACAGACAAACAGGGTTGACGAAGAGTTGATGCAAAGTTTTAAGCAATTTAGTTTTGCAAAGAGTAGCAGTTGGAATAGGTGTTGTGAATAACTCTCAGCTACTACCACACATTTTAGCCCAGCGTCTAAGAAAACTGACAGCAGTTGTTGCTATTTTTGTGTTTTGTAACGGTCAGCTGGCTGTGACCACCACCTTGAACAGTGTTGTCTCCTGTTGTAGGTATACATCCATTGATTACTTCTGTAAATATCCCGATGCAGTTTTAGATTACTTCTGCAAGTTTTATTAAAACTCCATTTGCAATTAATGAGACCATTTGGTAACAGACAGACACTGCACATTAAACTTTTTGACAGGGGCAATAATCATTCTTTACAAAGGAGAAGGTTATCTTGCTCTTTCGGATGCAATGATAAATTTGGGACTTTTTAGACACGTTTTAAAGTACAATACATATTTAAAATTAAATAAGTACAACAAAAACCATGTCCTTTTTCTGCTGGTTAGCTTCAGATTCTCTTGGCATTACTATGTACTGCAGAGGATGAATAAACCTTTATTTTGGTGCTGTTAAGGGACATAATTTATCTTTATTTAAGTGAAAACAGCCCTGACTTTACAAGGCGTGACCTCTTCTTGACTTCTGAAGTACTGTCATCAGTAGCAGATCCTATACGATGAAAGCCAAGCCTCCATAAATCTGAATTAGAAGAGGTCAAGTCGGAGCTTCAGACTTGTGTTTGTGCTCCTCAAAGGAAACAGGTTTGGGAGTTTTGCCACAGTCAGTGTATGATTTTACTGGAAGATGCTGCTGGCATTAGATAATACAGCTTCGTGAAAGGTATCAAAGCATCACAAACACGAATGACAGAATCCAACGTTAACCACCTGGAAAATGTTTACAGGCTTAACTTCTGAGGCCACCGTGATGAAATATACCAACTCTGCGGTCTCGGCCCATGATTAATCAGAACATACTCTTTTGATAAGGGGCTCTGTTTGTCGTCTCAGTTTTGAGGGCCTCAATAGTCACAGGTCTGTTTTAGCTCCACACACTACAACCTGTTTGGGCACAATTCCTCCTCTGTTGGACAAAGTGTTCATACAAGAGTCTTGGCCTGCTTCGTCACTCGTACAAGGTCACTCCAAACCAGAAACAGTTCAAACCTTCTCACCCTTGTCTTTTAGCTTATTACCAGTACATCACTTCGAAGGACAAATAGTTCAGCTGATGTCTAATAAATCTCCTCTGGTGCTCATCAGCAGCTTTTGTAATGTTTTTTTACTGAACATAAAATGGCAACATGTCAACTTCTAGGACGCGGTCTTGTAGTTTTGTGCATATCAAGTGTCAGCCCGATGTTTAAAACATGCCCTTATTATTAGGACTATTTGTACAGATTCCTCAAGCTAGTCTCACATTAAAATAGTTTACTACAAGGTTAAGGAGTAAAAACGTTAATTGTTCCACTTTAATTTTTTATGAAAAGCATAAAAAGTGTCTAAATTTACTCAGACCCTTTGTCTTTAATGGATGTCAGTCTTTAATTGCCCAAACAGCACCTGAATGTTAATCAAGTGTAATCTCTAACAAGCTTCCTGCGTGTTTTCAGATGAATGTTGGAGCGTCTCTTCTCTGCAATGATAGTTGAGGTTTGAGAGATTCAGATGCCCCCAAACACTGCAGAATAAATTCTATCTGAAAAATACTTAATTTTGATAGTTTTTACTGTTATTTTCCTGAACCCGTATGCCTGCTTTCTGATGATTAGACTTTTGTAAAGTTCAAATCATGCTCAAGGGCAAGTAAAAAACAAAAAACAAATCTGTTTTCTCTATAACGTTGCCTTTCAAGTCTTCTTGGTTCTGCATGAGCCAGATTGGAGTAGTTTCTTTTAGACTAGTGTCACCTTTGTTAAGTCTTTTCAGGTCTCAAACCGTGTCAAATTCAGAATATAATTCAAACTATTATTTCTAACATGCAAAACTTTCTACAGCCTAGCTCCATCTTACTGTATATTCGAGATCTTATTGTTCCATATTTTCCCAACAGAGCTCTTCACTCTCAGACTGCAGGTTTACTTGTGGTTCCTACAGTTTCCAAAAGTAGAATGGGAGGAAGATCTTTCAGTTATCAGCCTCCTCTCTTGTGGAACTAATTTCCAGTTTCTGTCCGTGAGGCTGACACATTGTCCAATTTTAAAATTTAGTCTTTCCTTTTAGATAAATCCTATAGTTAGGGTTGGCCTGGGTTTCCTGAGCTACCCCTTAGTTCTGCTGCTATAAGCTTAACTGCTAAAGGACAAATTGACCATGTGACTCACTCTGCTGCTGTCTTTACTTGCTCTACTCCACGTGTTTGTATTTGTAATTATTTCCACCCTTGACATGTTTTTTGTCTCAATTCCAACAGAAAGTTCACCTGGACCTGTCACTCAGTTCGTCTGTTCCTCTCAAACCCAGCCGGTCGACACAGATGGCTGCTCGGCCCGAGCCTGGTTATGATGGTTTCTTTTTGATAAGAGGGAATTTTCCTTCCCACTGTCGCCTTTGTGCTTGCTCAGGATGGCACTGTGATGAAGTGAGGGTCCAACACAGTCTGCTGGCTTCCTTAGATTGACAACATTTACTGACTGGCTTTTATATGTATGTGAATGTTTCTGTTCAGCTCCCGAGATGACTTCTGTTGTGATTGGTGCCATAAAAATAAACTGAATTGAAACCTCTTATTAGGATATTTTAAACCGTGAAACCACTGGCAGAAAAAAAAAAATCTTCAAATATATAGATTTATATTTTTTACTTGATGGATCAATTTATTTTGTGGGTTTGAAAAATCTTGACTTTTTGTGGTCTCACCTCCAAGAAGCTATAACAAAAGCATGAAAGCAAATAATTTTATACAATTGGAGTACCAGAGGGAAATTTGTAATAAAATAAACATGAGCGTAACTACAAATAATTTGTTTATTTTTCAGGATTTTTATCCAGAATGTCTATGACTAAAGGAGCAGCAATAGTAAATGTTTGAAAGTTTTTTCTTTAAGAAAATGCTATAAATCTTAAATATTTAACTTTTTTTCCCAATAAACATTTGTTCTCCTATTTTTGCAGTAAAGCGTTCAAGCACATCTGTCTAAATAAAAAAAAGGCAGATCCATCTTTTAAGGTCCAGCTGAAGAGGATGACTTTGAGCTCAAACATAAATCATAAGCAATAAATACATTTCGAAGCAGAAATCCTAAAAATATCAACTTACCTATAACTTTTTGCAGATATTCGTCTTCTTTAATAATAACGTCCTCTTCTGACCAAAACAAACCACCTTCCATAAGTCGTACAGTTTTCTAACATGTAAAATAGTTTATTTTTGTAAATGATTCTAAATTCAATTCCACAAACTCCAAACCTCATACTCTGTACACTTCAAAAGGCATTTTCAAAAATAAACAAGAAAAAAAAAAAGGAGAGGAGGAAAAAAAAGTATTGACTACTTTACACAAACTGAGAAAAATGTAGCACAAACACACTGGCAAGATGAAGTCGTATCATACAAGAGAAGAAAAATATTCAAGAAACGATTCTGTTACAACCATTCATTGAGAAAATATATACAATTGAGTCTTCGGAAAGTTAAAAAAATACATGCCATATACATTACAAGTTCTAAGACTGTCTGCAAAAGTTGTACAGTCGACTTGAAATTGTGCACGCAGAAACTCTTCAGGTTCTAAGCGACGTGACGTGTGAAGTGTCAGTATAAGAAATATTTCAGACTCAGCAGAACGCCGTTTCTGTCCGAAGAAAAATAAAAAGGAAAACCTAGTTTCACATACAATTCTTTCTGTCGCACACTGGTTCATCTAAACTGGAAACATAATTAGACGTTTGCACCTTTTTGCAAAAACAAAAGTGACAACCGAACAAAACAGGTCGCTGTTCTTGTTAAAATACAAAGTTAAAAAGTTGTTTTTTGGGGGTTTCAAAACCTAATTCACAGTTCTTTAAAATCCAACCTGATTAACAGCGCACAGAACTCTTTCTATCCAAAAAGTCCTTTTCATTTTAAAATTCTGTAACCATTAACTCGTGAGTCAACAAAAATATTTCTTTAAAGTGGTCAAAGTATGTCAGTCACAAAACACTACGCTACAATACCTCATTTTTAATACAACAAAAATACTTTGTGAATTATTGTGGTTATATTACAAATTCTGTACAGAATATTCATAATATATACTCTCAAATGAAAATAACGTCCATCTTAAATAAATTTCAATGACAGGTAAAACAACAAGAAAAAAAAAAAAAAACGATTTAAAACACCCAAACATCAAGAAGGTTAAGGTAGTATTTGGTCGGTTATTCCTATAGTTTTCTTTATGTACATTTATACAAAAAGTAACAGCGTGTCTTCTTCAATCTTCAAAAACAATAGCCTTCTTTACCTCAATCTCGTCATTTTAAGAATAAAGTTCATTCACTCAGTAATAAATACAAAACCTCTCGAATTCCACACAAATCACATGACAGAGACCTATGATAAAACTGACTCATGGAATCAAGTATTTAAAAGTTTGTGTGTGTGTAGGTGTGTTTTTTTGTTTTTTTTTGTTTGTTTTTCTCTCTTTTTCTTTAGTGCAAGTTAATATTCCCTTCACGGTATATTGTTGCTGTACATTCCTCATTCAGTGATGTCTACATTTAGTCAAATGGTATACATTAGTATAGAACAAAAAGGGCCTGCCCTTAGTAAGCAATAAGGCCGCACCCTGCACAGTGCTTTCTCATTCGCTGGTGGATTCTGCACCCCATGTACACCAAACAAACACGCAGATACATACAGACGGCGGGAGGCACCGCGTACAACACAGCCCCTCACATATGGCACAAGTCACGTCCTGCTACTGTGGTCGTCTTCCCTTCCTCCACTCGGTTTGATTCCACGATCTGGTTAACTCGTAGTTTTATTAATTCCTCAAAAGGATCAGGCCTTTCGGGTTATCTTTATAAACGACTTCAGTGTGAGATCCTGTTTTCTCTCTCCCCCCGTGCACAGAACGTTTCACACGCTCCAATAAGGAATGGTGTTTAGGCTCCTCGTTTTGCTCAGTTAATCCACTTCCTGCACTCCGGAGCTCCGCAGTGGCAAATGATTTTGCGTTGACCCTCGACGGCGTCGAACTGATAGTCGAAACACAGCTGGAAAACAAGGGAGGCAAATCTGTTACTGAGCATCACAATGACGCGTTTATCACCGACTGCAACAACAAAACCCTTCTCAGAAAAAACAAGTTGGATGCAGATGATTTGAACGAGAATACACCAGGTAGAGGTGATCATCGGAGCGGGCGCACGTTTTATTTGAATGTATTTTGCTAACAGCCGCATGAGAGCTCTTCTGGAAGGATTCCAAGGCAAGTGAGCCAAAAGACATGGTCTCTTCAGCGTGTCCTCCATCTTTCTCAGGTATCACTAAGGCTACAAAAATTACCCTTCAAGGTAAAAGGCAAATGTACTTTTTTAAGTATTGTACATTACTGTACCTTTAATTTTTACTGTGTACATGCACCTCTCGTCTCTCACTGCTCTTTCCTTTTTATTACAGTTGTTGTAAATGTACTTAAATAAAACAATTAAACGTGCCTTTTGCTTCCAGATGGACCTGAACGACCTGCGATTGATGTAATTGTCACGCATTTCATTGTGTCAGTCCAAAACGTCTGTACCGTACAATCAGAACACAAATACATGTACCATTACATTCTTAATGTGTGTGTATAAATATATGTGTATACCCACCTCTTCTCCTTTTTCAACTCTTCGTATGCAGCTGATGATAATTTTGTAACCTCTCTCAAATGTAACCACCTCAGCAACACAGTTAGGAGCACAAGAGTGATTGATATATCTAAAGAAAGAAAAAATTACTTTACGGGTCAAACAAAAGTGTTTCACTGTCATATACTCAGGCTTTCTACTACGTTCTAGTTTGAACTGGAATATAATGCTCTAATACAAACACATGAAACTGTTTTTACAAGTTTTGACACAGATAAACGTTAAACAGGTGCAGAGACGCTGCATTTCGCTTCATTTTCCTCAGTTGACAACTTGTGAAGTTAAATCTCATTCAAACAGAAATAAATGCCATTGTACCATAATTTAACCACAAACATCATATAGAGACAAAAGCATGTTTTCTGTTCACATTTTAAATTGTTCAGTTACCTTGCAAGCCCTCCACTTCGAGTTGCATCGACAACATGTTCGCTGCCGATGCGGAACATGAACACGGCTCGGTTCTAGAAAGGAACAAGGACACGTCTTAGCTTTCATGAAAGGGAAAAGAAAAATAACCTTATTATTAAAATGAATACCTGAGAGCTATAAATCTTCTCCTTCCTGATGGCAACCTCATTTCGGAGGACCGTTCCATTGTACTCGATCACCATGGCTTGTTTTTCGATGTCTCTGGCAGCAAACAGCCCCAGGCCCTGCAGATACAGAACATCAGCAGCTTGTGATTCTTTAAGGATGAACCACAAAGTAAAAGCACAAGATTTAATGAATCCTATTTCCTCACCTGGATGCGTGAGCGTGCCAGATAGACATTTACTCTCCACTCACTCTTCATCCAGCGGTACTGGGAGGACCTGGGGTGTACAACCGGAGGTTTATTGTGAGGAGTGCCACCTTCTCCTGGAGCCACATTCTGGTTAGACCTAGCACTGCTGCTGGACACAACCTGAGGTTGAGGCCTAAATTATGAGAATAAATCACAAAAAAAGTGTCAAACTCAGACTTTGTTTTAACTTGAACTTGAATGCTGTCCTCGGCCAAAGTTACCTTATCACCAGTGTGGTGTAGGAAGAGTTTGTTCTTGGCTCTGCTCGGGCACAACCAGCTGGATTGAACACGAGAGGCAACTCCACAAGAGGGTTGCGTCCGTAACGGAACGAGTACCTGTCGCACACCTCCACTCCTGGGAGCTGGAGTAAAGGAGTACAGACAGAAAAAAGAACGCAACTCTGAAATTCACGAAGATTTTAAACTCAAACACCAAAATAAAATCACCCAAAGAAGGTACAAACCGATTCAGTGATCTTGGCGACTGCAGAAACTGTGAGCCCAAACAGATCCTCTCCTTTCAGATAAACAGGGAATAACCTCAGAGTGCCTGTTTCAGCTCTTTTCTCTGAAACTGGACCCAACACTTTTTCCCAAACTCCTGATTAAAACAAGATAAGCACATAGAAAAGCTCTTAAACTGAATACTAAAAAGGCAGAAAAAAACCCAAGATTCCTTTATTTTCTTCAAGAACCACCTTTAGGAGAGGTATCAGTCAGGACCAGGTCTTGGTAGCCTTGTTCGACGACTCGGATCATGAACTCTGGCTGCCCGTCTCTGTCTTCAACAGAACAGACGTAACGGCAGCGGCGGCTGCCATGGCGCATGCTCCAGTAGATGCGACAGGCCTCGTAGCCAACTGGAAAGATGGCGGTTGAGGAATGGAAGGCGGACATTTGCTCTGGAGTTAGTTGGCCTATTGCGTGCAACACCAGACTCCCCACTCGAAATGTATAACCCAACTCAGGCTGCTGCACAGCCGTGGCAATCTGACGCACTTCGTCTCTTTGGACATAGACACGTCGGAACACGGCAAAGCAGCGCAGCTCGTGCTCCAGGGCTTGTCCTGCTGTTCCTCGGGGCCGGTGGGCGTGACAAAGCATGGTCTTGTCCTTGAAGAAGGTGCACTGGGCTTGCAGAGCGCAGGTGAAATGGTAGACGTTGGTACAGCGCAGGCGGTGGCAGCCGCTGGTAGCTCCAGTCTGCTGGCAGTAGGCGCAGCGAACCGTTTGGCCACGACGCAGCGCTAGCTCCACGTTGATGAGGGCACCGGCTTGGGTCTCGTACACTTCAGTAGACCACAGAGCGCAATTTAGATGAACCCACACGTCCAGGTCTAGATTCAGCAACCTAGCAGGACCATCGGTGATCCCATCTCCAAACTGGTGGCAGAAACAGCAGCGCCTCTTGTCTTTGAGTAAAGACGGAGGGCGGAGGGACGCACCGAGTCTCTGCAACAGCTCGTCGATTTGATTTTCATCTGGAAGCTGGGAGTTTGTTCTTGGCATCACCACCTGAATGGTCCACTTTCTCCAGCGGAGTCCTTTCTGTCGCTTTCCCTGGTGCCAGCCGTCGTAGGACCTTGGCCGACTCTTCAGCTTCACAGTCACTTTGAGGGCATCAGATTTGACCTCAGTCTTGGGCGCATCACCCGCTGTAGGAAAGGGAATGGGAGGAGTGGACGGGGGAGACTGTTTGGGCTGAAGCTGGGCGAGGCAGTGAACGTCCAGTGAGGACATGTTGTTACTGTACTGGTGCTGAGTTTTACAAAAATTCTCTGTTTGCTCTGAGGCCTGCAGGACAGACATTGATTCCTAGAGAAATGATATGGAAAAATAAATACCATTAACACAGTGTAACCAGTTTGTTTCTCTACATAAGATCCAGTGATACATACCTTTGTTTCAGTAGGTTTGGATTGCAGCCGTGGCGATGAGCAGTACAGAAGATAGCAGCTGTGACTACAGAAGACCAGGTTTTCCTCAGGTTTAAAACGACTTTTGAATTCCTAAAAAAACAAACGAACCAAAGCTCAGCTGGAACATCATTTTTAATCCAAAAATTATTTGTAAATAGATTGCCCTCTATAAGGCAGGGTTATTATACAAGATTTAAAAGTAGAACTGTAATAGTTTCCATGTATGAATATACATATACACGTGTCAGTTTTAGGCTTCTTATAGTTTAAATGTTATTTCGTCTAAAGTAATGCCTAGGTTTGCAGTTTCAGCTCACTTTGTCCTTAAAGAAAATCAATGACATTCAAAAGATTGTCATTTGGGAAAAAAACAAAAACAGTTTGGACGTAGATATTTCTGATCAGAGAATGAACAGTAGTGACTGTTTATGTTTTGCTTATAAGTAACTTGAAAACAGCGTGTTTTTATTCAGCAAAAAGTCTTCAGACCTCCCCTTTGACATCCAACTGCTTTGGCTGAAACATGGTCTATCTTAAGAATATAGCACTTCAAACGACTCAAAGCTTTTCAGCCAAACTTGTTGGGTACCTTCATTTGAGCAGGAAGGTCTTTGATGGCTTTCTGGACTCCGTTTCCCAGAACCACCACTTTACAGTGGCAGCACCACTGAGGTCTACATCCAGGGTTGGCCGGGGCCTTATGGTCAGGTCCTCGACCTACAGTGGAGCCTGAAGGAACAACAAATATATAACCGATAACATCATATCATTATTTTGAAATTAATCTGAGCAAGAAAAGACAAGGTGTCATACTGTGCAGCTTAAATTGGACAACATTTTAATTACAGGTTATATTAGTGATGCTCGTGTTTAATTTAGTTGGATTCCCGTACCTGGGTTACAGGTTTGGAAATGGAAATGATGTGCTTGCTGCTGCATTAGTCCCTGCGGTCCACTGGGCCTGATCATTTGTCCAGGCCCACCATGAAGTCCTGCATCTCCTTGTCTGTGGAAGAGCATAGGAGGACGAGGCTCCATGCCATGGTGAAGCATCCTTGGACCCATAGATGGTGGGGGACGGTCCAGGGTGCTGCTGACTTCATAGCTACTGGGGATCTTTACACACAGTAGGTCTGAAATGGCTGCCACTACACCTGTGATGTTCTGAGAGACACAAACACAAAATATTTAGGAAATGAGGTTTTACATTACAACTGCATGGGGGGGAAGTCACCTTTTTAAATATTGATGTACCTCAGAGCACGACATAATCAACGAATAAAAGTGATTGCAGGTGACAGGTGCGTTATTTCTCAAACTCTATGGCAGATAATGATGTTTTATAAATTGACAGAACTAAAAAAAAAAAAATGTGTCGATGCTGGATTTCAGTGAAAGTCTGTAAAAGGAAGTATTTTTACCTCAGCTGCAGCTGGTCTCAGTGTAATAGCTACAGAAACCAGCCCTTGTTTAGAATCATTAGACGGGGGGCCAAAGAACATAGAAGAAGGCTCAGTCTTGATATTCTGTAGTTTGATCTCAGACCCTAGAAAAGTAATAAAGTAAAAACACTGAAACTACAATTACATTCTTTAAATGAAATGACCAGGTGAAGTGCCTGCAACTTTTTATTAGTGACAGCCAACAATTTATGTAAACATGGACATGTTAAAACAACTGTTTTTATTTATTTATTGCCCTAAGCTGAGCACAAAACAAACTTGTGTAACTATATGCACCAATACTTGAGCCAAAAAAATGCTCCACAATCTCTAATTAATTATGACTGGATGACTGAATTATGAAGGAATTTGTGGGTGTTTACCTTTCCCATCGGGAGCAGGAAGCATAGGGAGCACAGGAGACAAACAAGGAGATGGCGGCTCTTCCTTCACCAGAGACAAGTCTGGGTAGCGACTGATCTCCATGCCGACGACGCTCTCAGGAGACGAAGACGGTACAAAGCTGTCAGGTGTATCTCTGTCCTTGCAAGCCTCCTGTCCTCGGTTACTGTGATCACAGAACAAGCCAACACAGTCAAAATCACGTAGCTGATAACTATTTTGTCCTACAGTACTAAAATTAATCCGTTACCTGAGCTCCTCCTGGTTGTTGTGAGGAGGGGTGGGAAGAGAAGCAGGAACATCCACAGTTTTGGGTCCCTGAGCAATGGCCCGGGCTAGCAGGTCTTCCTCTACCCTAAATGGGACATGTAGCGGCTTTGGCACTAGGCCTTTGGAAACTGTATTTAACAGGAAAACAGTATCATAATTCATTTGTTAGATTCATAATATTGTTTTATAAAGTAACATAAAATGAGAAGATAGTACTTCACAAGTTCTTTAAGCCAGTGGTTCCCAACCCTGGTCCCTGAGGAACACCATCCTGCATGTTTTAGCCGTTTCCCTGCTCTGACACACCTGATTCAGTGATTTAATTACTTCCTCAAGTTCTGCCGAAGCCTGTTAATAACCAAATCATTCAAACCAGGTGTGTCAAAGCAGGGAAACAACTAAAGCATGCAGGATGGTGTGCCTAAAGGACCAGGGTTGGGAACCACTGCAAAGTTTAAGCACTTACCCATGGCAGCAGCTTTATTGGCCAGCTCTTCTGTTGTGGCAAATCCGTTGATCATTTTCTGTCGATTCACAGGCGGTGGGGTGGGAGGAAGAGATGCCGGTGGTGTTGGAGGATTGCTCAAGTTACTCTGCTGTAGAATCAGGACAATGTCAGCACACACTATAACTCAAACACACATGAACTCCTCGGTTTACTCAGGTTCCCTTTAGTAATGTAAGAAGATCTCACCTTGTAGGCCAGCTGGGAGTAATAATCTGAAACTCCATCTAGCGAGGCGCTGCCGAAAGTCCCAGACAAGAGGTTTTCTCCATTGAGCTGGCCGCTGCCGTAGGGAGCAAAATGGGCAAAGTTCACCCTGATCAATGGCTCCATGAGGGGCAGCAGGGAGAGCTGCTGTGAAAAGTGAAACAATTAGAAGAGAAACTTAAATAACATATTTTCAACCTTGTTTGAAATCCACAACGTTCTCTTCAGTGCTTCCCCATTCACCTTTTCACACACATGATGATATAACCAACATTTGCACTCTACACACATATTTTGTCTACAATCCAGTTAGGATTTGAAAGGCAGCATGGGGTTTACTATCTTGCACAAGGGCACTCCACAATGTGTCAGGGATGAGGGATTGAAGCATCAATCTAACAGCTGGAACATGACAACGCAACAACCGAGTCACAGCTGCCTACAAGTTTTTCACACTATCAGGACAACACAAGCTCCCCTCCATGTAGATCTACACGCAGTAACTTCACATAATAACTTTCTCTGTTTAAATGGCAAAACGCACAATAAATACACTACATCTATATATTATATTTAAAAAGAGTGCTGGAAAAAGGTTAACATTTAATTTCTGGTCCAGCTGACATTAGATCTACTGCAGATAAATATGAGCAGTTTAAACTGTGAATTTTCTTATATAGAAAAAAACAAACTGCAACTTATGAGAAGGGAAAAAAGAAAAGCAGAGGAACAACAGATCATACTTGTTTGATTTGGTGCATAACGGAGTCAGTGCCTGAGTGTATCAGCTGCCTCTCGTCTCCTTCTTTCTTCCTCTTCTTGTAGCGTGAAGCAGGTTTCTCCCCTCCTTTTGGTGGCCTCTTGTTTCTCCCTTTTTTCTTCTCTTGCTCGGAGATCAGAGGCCCAGGAAAGTCAGAGGTTCCATCTGAATATGCCTGAAGGTAGAGTAAAAAATAAATAAATAAAATACAGGTTTTATTAAAAGCTGTAAACTTAAAAAAATGACTTAAACAGCACAATGGATTTAAATTAGATGTTTTCCAACACAAAACTGACTGAATATTGACAACTATGAATCATATCAATTTAACCATAATGTGCCACCCTTAGCTTGTCCATGACTCACTATGTTGATTCCCCCTTTAGCGCCCTGTAACTGCATGACTAACAAATACTGACCCCGTTGCTGTCTATGGAGCTTTGCCTCAGTAAGGTTTTGCAGTCTGTGGATTCCTCTTCCTCCAAGCGCAGGCTTTCCTCTGACCTCTGCTGGGACAATCCAGGCGGAGGTGTACTCTTGTTCTTCAGAAGGTGTTTCAGTAGTTCATTACCAGCCTCCCCTTTGCTCAGACTTTGCCCAGTGGGAAATGGAGACATGCCCCCTTTGTTACTTTCTTCTTTCACAAAGCTCATTTCTGAGCCGATGGACCCTTCAGTTGGCCCGTGGCATTCAGGGGCATCAGTCTGCTCAAGCTTTATGTTATTGAGGATCCTCTCGTGCTCCTGAGCCTGCATTCTTGATGTTTCTGATGACAGACCAAGTTGTCCAGACTGCCCTCCAGAAAGTTGCCTCTCAAGCTCTGAATGACTGGAGGTGGTAGATCCAAGTAGGGGGGATCTAGACAAGTCCTGCTCTCCAAAGAGATGGGGGTTTCTAGTAGGAGTTGAAGAGGTGTCTGAGACACAAGGAGTAAGAGGGGTTGTGAGGTCTGAGTGTGGAGTTGAGGGTGTTTTGACTGAATCTGCATCGTCGTCTTTCTTCTTTTTGCGGTTCCTTTTCTTTTTTCCTTTCTCATCTGGAATGATGTTGGAATACAGCTGTATGAGCGACTGACCCGAGCCTGGAAAGTTGGACGGTAGAGGTGTAGCTGAATCACCACCAAATGGAGGACCCTCACTGGGCATTTTTGGCATCATTCCTGGTCCACTGAACTGACGAGATCTCGCCTGAGCGTGAGAAAAATTAGGTCCTTGTAGAGCAACGTTATCAGGCCCTAAACTGGGCCCCATGTCAGGCTGCATCATCCCATTACCCATCATGGCTCTTCTGTCCCCCTGGATGAAAGTTCCAGGTGGTGAGCCCATACCAGGCTGCATGCCCTGCTGTTGGGGGAACACTGGTCCAAGTTGTTGCTGTTGTTGTAAAGGGGCCCTCTGAGGCTGCATGAAGTCCTGCGGTAGATCTGAATTAAAAAACGGCATCTGAGCAAGTGGTGCCATGCTCCCATCTGGGGCCATCATTCCTTGCTGCTCCATCTCCATACGATGTTTCAGAGCTTTCTGACGTTCAACTTCCTGCATTAGCTGCACTCGTTGTCTCTCCTGCTGCTCCCGCAGCCTCTCTCTTCTCTCACGCTCCTGAAAACCTTCGCTGAATGGATTGTTGTCATCGAACTTTACCCCAGCTGGCTGCATGGGTTTAACAGCACCTGGTGGAGCGGGTGGTGGTTGGGGCTCCACAGGCATTTGAGAGTGCTGGGACACATTGCCCATTGGCATTTGGAAGGGTTGAGCTGAATTTACAACAGGTACCTGAGGAGGCATTATTGGTGGCATTCCTGGTCCAACCATAGGCATTGAAGCACCAGGATGCCAGCCAGGTGGGGGATTGGGCATACGTGAGGGTGCATTTGGCTGGCCAGGGTGTATCGGCATCTGCATCATGGGGTTCATGGGTGGCTGTACCATCGGTGGACCACCAGGCATCATGCCAGGAGTGCCTGGTATCCCAGGCATTAATGGTGTCATGTTGTTTTGCTGCTGTTTCACTCTGTACTCCTCAATAAGTTCAGCATGCTCTTTCTGTTGCTTGCGGATCTAGAATAAGAAGAGAAAAAACTGATCTGTACAGTATGATCAAAGAGTAAATAACATGTTTTAAAGTGGTCAATTACACATTTGGACAAAGGTTTGGAAACAGGTTATAGCTACTTCTCTATTAATAACACAGGTTGGACTTCTGATTTTCTTTAAAATAAAAAACAAGCCTACGAGGACACACAAGTTGTCAAAAGGGAAAGATAAATGAGTGTACTTTTAAATTAGAACAAGATACAAGTATACTGTATGTACATTGCTCTCCTGTGCTTTTGGAAATCCTCAGTTTAAATACATGTTCATTGCTTGAAAAGAACACATTTGATGTTTACTTTCCAGAGCACATTCTAAGTTTCATTTGGTCAAATAGGACAAATTAATACTACTTATTATATCTGCTACTAAAATATGATCAGATAGAACACTTTAATACAAAAAGCTTTCATATGTTTATCTTCTAGCAATGCCAGGGATTCTTCTGTGAAATAATGATAGTTATTTTTCTCCTTTTTATGACTGTACTGACTATCCCTCTTTAACAATTAAAACTGTTCGGAGGTGCAAATGGGAAACAGTGTTTAGGGCAGCCAGTATGTACCGGTGAGACAGGAGTAAGCAGTGGAGCTTGACAGGCTGCACATTTACCTGCTCCAGTTGCTTCTGCACAACACCCTGCTGCTCTGTGACATGTTTGAGCTGCTCAGCATCCTCCTCAGGAAACTCTCTGCCTGCCTTTTTAGCAGTCCTTTGCTTGGCAGACAGGGCTTTCTTAGACTTCCTGTGAGCCCCAATTTTTTCTTCTAGAATCTTCTGCTGCACTTGAAGTAGGTGCTGAGTCTCCTGGAGCCACTCCTCATACTGAGCCCTCTGAGGATTATCTGTAGGAAGAAAGTAGCTCTCTTTTTAGCAATCTCGACAGCTGAAATGCAAACGTCTTTACATTTGCAGCCATAACCTAAAAATTAAAAACATAAAATTAAACTGCAAGATAATCTTTAGAGAACTTACTGACAAATCCTAGTCCAAAGCTTGGAGTATTTGGTCTTGCTACTTGTGTCAATTTGCCATCCTAAAACCCCAAATCAGCAAGAAGGTTATCATATAAATAACGGAATATAAGACATATTTATTGGAATGAACTAAATAGATTGTCTATTACCGGTTCAACAACTTGTGGAGGGAGAGGTGTGCTTTCAGGACAAGGAGGTACAGGACCAGAGGGAAATCTGGGGCACAGAAATGCCATACTTAGATTTATGAATGGATTTCTCATTTAATAATTCAAAAATGTGCCAGTAGTAACTACTAATCATTTACACAGTTTATTCTGCAAGCTATACTTTTTACTGGCACTAATTGTCATGATTTGTGTAAAAATATGTATATTTGTGTAGGAACAATAGAAATTTGTACCTGTTTATAACCATTGAAGTCATCCCTATGTTGTTCTGAACCATGACTTTATTGATGCCTTTCAGGGCAACCATTTTGGCTTTCATGATGGGGTCTGTGATGGCATCAAAATCTTCAAATGACAAACAAAGCAAAGTAAGACAACCAATCTACCAGGTGACCCATACAGAAATCTAGAGAGGCCTAAATACCGTACCGATGTTGGGAAAAAAGGTGTCACTGGAACGCTGGCGTATCATAGCTTGCATCTGCCTCTGCTGTTGTTGCTCCTGTCTTTCCTGGTCTAGAAGGTCCTGCAGCAGAAGTGGCTGCTCATCCAGCAGAAGAGGACGCTGCTGCTGCCCCGCTGCTGTGTTCAACCCTGTCTGCTGGACTTGGTTTAGACCACTCTGGTCCACTCCAGGGGTCAGCACCACCTGATGGTCTGCCCCAAAGACAGCCATAGAAACTTCTCCTGCAGTGGTGGTGTCAGGTATTGTTTGACTCACTGTAAGTGCTGAGGTATGCTGAGTCTCTGTGACTTGGTTCTGCTGGGCCATGAGGTTACCTCCTTGGTTGACAGATCCAATGATTGGATTTAATGACTGCTCTTCAGGCTGCTGCTTAATGAGTAAACTAGACAAGACTGGAGTGGCGTCAGAGAGAACTCCCTGCTGGTTTGGGGCATTTCCAGAAGCTTGCTGATTTACCACCTCAGTGGGCCCCTGACAGTCTTTGACCTCGGTTTTAATTTCCTGCTCAGATGCGAATGAACCAGAGGATTGAGTCCCAGAGACTTCTGGCTTGAGTTCAGCTGAGGAACATTCACCTGTAGCTTCTGACTTTGTCAGTGAAGATGCTGAACTGGATGATGGATCAGTTACAGTGCAGGCATTTTTGTTAATTTCCACAGCTTCAGCATTGTCATCCATTGGATCACTGAGATCAAGTTCCTCATTAAACATGTCTTTCTTGATGTCATCCAAGTCAGGGTCTGTGTAAGCAATTATGTCAAACTTACCACATTTAATAAAGTCATCAAGGTGTAGATCATTGGTTTCTAGATCAAGGTCTTTGCCATCTTCAGGATCCAAGTTTAAATTTTCCAAGTCCGAGTCTACCAGGTCTTTCACCTCCACGTCCTCGAGATCTTTGACTGCTGAATCCTCTCCGTCTAATTTCTCTTCTACAGCTTCACTGCTCGATGCAGTTGCAGCCTCGGAATGTGCAGCAGGGGGAGCAGACAGGATCATGGATGTTGCCATGTTCTGGATCTCATTTGAAGCAGGTTGACTCATCGATCTCATCAGCGGAGATTGTTTGATTGGATTGATCCCTGGTATCTGGGTGTGCTGATGAAGATTGTCCATACTGGCAGAGAAGTGTAAGTGGCCAGTCTGACTGGCTAAGGGGTCTCCCATTTTGGGACCCTGATTTAAAGTGAACCTGGAATCAGGTGCTCGTAAAAAGCCTGGAGGTCTTTGACCCTGCATGTTGGGATCCATGTTGCTTCCTTGAATGCTACCAGGTGGAAATTGTAAGCGTGGCCTGTTTTCAGCTGCTCTGTGTCGCAGCTCAATGAATTGCTGGCCCATTATATTGTGCTGTTGCATTGGCATACCACGTGGTGGGAAGTGATGAGGAAGCCCCATGGGGTTTCCTCCCATGCTTTTTGTCATTTCAGCAGACATGGGTAGTCTCATTTGAGGAGGTACATTCTGCATTGTGTGCTCACCCCTGTGAAAGAACTCTTGAGCCCCATGAAGTCCTGAAACACTAGCTGTAAATGGAAACCTACAACAGAATAGAAAAAAATACACACAATGGTAAACTTTGTTTTGTAGACTGATGTGTTATGAAGTACAGAACATTTGAAACACAAAGGTATCACAAAGAATTGTAACACAAACCTTGGTCCTTGCTGTCTCAAATTAGGATCTCCAGGATGCGGGGCTCGAAGCATTTGTCCTTCACTAGGGAAGCAGAAACGCTGATCACCTGGAAAAGGTCCAGGATATCTTACAGGCCCTCTTATGGGTCCTTGTCCTGGATAAGGTGGAGGAGGTCTGTTGAACATTTCCCCTTGTTGCCCAGGGCCCTCCAGGGGCCAGGGTCGCGGTGTTCCTGAGGTTGTGTTACCAGCGGGTTCCAGAGGAACCCTCTCCTGGCGGGTTGCAGTCCTTTGCTGGAGAAGTTCCCTAATTTTTTGTCGCTGGAGCAGAAATAATCATAAAGATTTAAGCTTTTTAAATCACAAAAAAAAAACATTAAAAAATCCCACATCACAGTCCATATAAATTTTTTTACAAGAAAACATTTACACAAAATTACTCAGGTCAAGCAGAGACACACCAATAAAAATGGTTAAAAACTAACAGGTTGGTTTTGAGACATAAAGGCACATATTAGGGTTAGGCAGTGGCCTAAAGTACTTTCTAAACATAACAACCCTGATTCGAATACCATTATTAAAATTTCAGCTGCAAAGTTTGTCCATTTTTCTCGACAGCCAAACCGCAATAAGGATGATCTGGAACCATTGAAAATTTTAAATTTGGGTTTCTCTAGTGTTAATTCTGCTGTACTGAGGTACTGTCTACTCCTTTGCAGAGCCTATCATTGAGGAAGAGAATTGGAGTGGATACGGCACATCTGAAACGTCAGTGTAACCTCAACCTGTGTGACTGCTGACATCACAGTTAGCTTGGCCCATGACTAATGCACATTATATTCTGGCAATAACTTGCTAATTTTCTAGCCTAGTAAAATGATTTAAAATTTCCAAGATGCTTGTAAAACAAACAAGCCAAACGTATCAAAACTTGTTGCTATAAATCCATTACCACAGCAACCTTTCACAATAATGCAGCAGCTATTAAGAGTGAAGGCTGAAAAGAATAAAAAAGCAGAGTAAGCTAAAAAAAAAAAAAAACGTGTTCACTTTGGAAAAGTTTGTTGCAAATGAAGCAGCAAGACACACGGTGGTTAAAATGAGCAAAAAGCTTATTGGATTGGTTGTTGAAGAGAAACTGTGATCTCCAAAAATGATGATTGTGGAAATCTAACAACTCTGTGCGAGCGCTACCTTCAGATCATGTCTTTAGAAACGAGAAATTTTCCCAGCTTGCTATGTCTCCTGCTCAGCCTTGATAAGGCAAATATGCTGCTTGGCTTATTTCAGACAAACATTTTTGTGACACGCTGACTCTTGCGGGCAGTACGGCAGAGAAGAGGTTTGCGTTGTCGCCTCACAGCAAGAAGGTTGCAGGTTTGCTTCCCAGCTTGGACCTTTCTATGTGGAGTTTGCATATACCTGTACTCTTTGTGCAAGTGTGGGCTTTCTCTGGGTACTTTAGTTTTAACCCCAAAAACAAAAAATGGATGTCAGGTTAATTGGTAACTTTATAACATGCCTAGCTGTGAGGGAGAGTGTGCATAATTGTTTGTCCTTTTTGTCTATGTGTGGTTCTGTGATGTATTTGCAGCTTGTCCAGGGTGCATTCGGACAGACTCACGACTGCTGGAGATAGGCACTAGCAAATGGGTAATGAAAATGCAAGGATGGATGGCGATTTTAACTAATTATAAATCTTTTTGTTTGAGCTGTAATTTGTTGTTAATTTTATTTCATGATGAAATGAAGCAAATGTGCTGCATATCTAAGAAATAAAAGTAAAAAAATTGGAGAAACTCTTAAAATGCCCTAAAATTGCATACAGTAATAAGACAACAACAATTCCTGAACAGCTGGTAATACATTAGACAAAAATATATTTTGAGGAATATTTGGTGGTATAAAACAGTGTCCTGCTCAACACCAGCAAACGCAAAATTCAACAACTTTATATATTGAATCAGTTGTAGTGAGTGATACAGAAGAATGACACTTATACAAACTAGCATTCTCTTGTTGCAGAATCATCTGATTTATCCTGAAGACAATAAATCAGATGACTAAAATAGTGACTGCTGGTTCAGTGAATGTTTTATATGGACATAGGAGAACCAATAACCAACTAAAATAACTAATATGTCTCAATTTTCTGGTACCTGTCTGAGTTTTTCCTCCGTCTCAGCAAGAGCAGCTCCCTGTGCTTCAGAAGATGCAGCAGGTATTTGTGGATTGGTTGGCATTTGGGTAGGGTCCTGATGGCTGGCTCCATTGTTACCCACAGCTGTCTGATCTTTTGTCTCCATTTTCTCTGTTGCTTGAGGACAAGGGGTCATAGGGGCTTGTTCAAATGGGTCATGGCCAGGTGTCTGATTGGGTCTTCTTGTTGGTGACGAACTGAATCCATCTTCTGAAACACCAGGGTGCTTTGGTGTGTGAGGGTCTGGATGAGGAAATGGCTCTTGAAGCCTGCCTTGGGGTGGGGAGAAAGGATCCTGACTTTGTCCTGGCCTTGGCATTGGTCTGTTATGACCATCAGGACCAGGTCTTGGGGTCCCTGGTGGTTGAGCATAAGGATCATTAAGCATTGGTCTAGAGGGGCCTGGCTGGGAAAATATGTCATTAACCCCTGGCCTTAAAGCTGCAGGTGTATTAGTAAATTGCTCCACTGGGCCCCTCTGGCTCCCTGGTGACTTGGTGAACCTATCACCTAGAGAGGGTCGAGGAGCACCTAATGGCTGGCCATATAGGTCCATGGAGTGGGAAGGAGACATTCGTTGTCCAGGGTGGGACTTATGAGAGAACTGGTTCATCCCACCTGCACGAGGAGCAGCCTGTGAGTAAGGGTCAGAGGAAGAACCAGGTGAGTTTGATGGCTGACCATAGTTGTCATGTGGACGTGGAGTGCCTGGTGGTCGAGCATAGGGTTCAAAAAATGGTCGCTGTTGAGCTTCATGTTCATTAATCAATCGCTGATTACCAGTAGGGTGAGAGAAAGGATCAACACCTGGCTTGTTGGGACCTGGAGGCTGGCCAAAGTGGTCGTATGTGAAACGATCTGGCCTTGGAGTGGAAGGTGCAAGTGCATAAGGATTCTTAGACATTTGAGTTACTGGTCCCGGCTGGACAAATGAGTGCCCTTGAGGGTGATGCTGACTCATTCTAGGAGGACTGGTGAAATTATCATTCCCTGATGGTCTTGGGGTATGTGGGGGTTGTGCATATGGGTCATTCAGCTGATTTTGAGAAAACCTTTCCGATGGATGCAAACCTGGTCGGCTGAAAGGATCCTGAGGAGGCATCGGTGTTTTGAACAGAGGGACAGAACCAGACTCATTACTACCAGGAATGGGTGCTATTAAAGGCCTCGAGTAAGGGTCAGACAAAATCATCCTGTTCTGGGCCATGCGCTGGTAGGCATCATTTCTTATCATTGGTCTTGAGTATGGGTCTCTACCAGGAGAGCCCATTGGCGATCTTCCTTGAGCAGCCTGACTACCCCTGGGAGGACCCATGGGCTTCAAAAAGGGGTCAATTTCCCCAGTGGGCCTTGGTGTGTCAGGAGGTTTGGCATAAGGGTCACTACACACTGATGTAGGAGAACCAAAAGATTCATGTGCTGGAGAGGGCCTCCCTCGGTCTTGCTGCTCCATCAAAGAGGTGGGGGATTTACCAGACTCAACAGACATTCTGCGACAAGCATTTGGTCCTAGAGTTGGTGGTCTTGGGGTCCCAACCATTTTGGCATATGGGTCCCACGGAGAAGATGGTCTCGACCCAGAAGAACTTGGTGAGAACACCTGTGGAGACTGAGGCTGGGAAGAAGGGCCAGATGGTGGGGGAGGAGGTGGTCGTAAGAACACATCCTCTGGAGGACCCGACGTGGGAGTTCCCTGTAGCTGCGGCCTGGCAAAATTTTCTTTCGAGCTGAACTGCTGCATTGGGGACATACTGTCATTGCTTGGTTGGGAAACTGGGCTCTGGTTACCACTGTTATTGTCATCTCCCTCTGACTGACTGGTTGTCTGTTGTTGCAGTTGTTGCTGCTGCTGTTGCTGAAGTTGCTCATTCTTAACTTGCTCCAACTTCTGAGTGGCTTCAATTTTGGCTTGCTGTTTGCTTTTCTGCCTCATTTGCTGTTGGGAGACATAATGTGAAAAGAGGGATTAAAAATCAACACAGATGCAGATATAATCTCATGCCAAAAATGAACTGGACCTACTAACCACCACTGTCATCACGGTTAATGCGAAGGATAGAGCAGGTGATTAGGTAGCTTTACTAAACCACCACTTCTTAGCTGTCTTAATATAAAGCTGACCTGGCGCTGCATACGCTGACTTCATTGCATACACTCTTACCTGTCTAAACTTCCACTCTTGTTCATGCTCTGACTCTTTTGGTTTCAAAGGGTCTTTAAACAGGAGTTCTGTGTCTAGTGGTAAGTTGGGATCAAACACCTCAGGGGGCTGTTGCTGTGGATGATGCCTCTTCACCGTCTCATTTGACATCTGGACTTTGTTGATGCGCAAGGCTGCTCGGTTATCTCTTGCCTTTTGCTAAATAATACATCAAAAGCAGAAGAAACAAATATTTTGTAAACAGAGCGAGAAGCCAAACAAGAGCAAAAATTCAATGTAAAAAGTAATTAAATTTTTTTTCTATTAAAGTTAGACTGGATAAGCTTCAGGCACTGAAAACATTTCAAGGACTATTTCTTAAGTGACTAAAATGTTTTTCACATACACAAAATTCATAATGCAATTTTCTTTATATAAAAAAGCTAGAAATCTTAAATTATTTCTAGCAACATGGATCATTCTGTTACTGTAATCTACAGTAGTTCCTAAGTAGTGAAACTGACGACTGAGGCAAATGTTTGACAGAGTCGGAAATGACTGGATTTCACATTGGATTGGGCACAGACAAGAGGATACAGGGGTCTGAGTGATCTTACCACATATGGAGCCCTGTCTTGTGAACTAGCTTTCCTCCAAAGTTTAGCAATTTGTTTTACTCTTGTGGACCAATCTGTTGGGAGAGAAATAGAAAGAGGTGTCATGACAGTGAGGACATTTTAGTTGCAACCCAAATGATGCAAAAGGTAAATAAAGACTAGACATCAGAATATACAAAATCATCACAGTCAAAGAAGAAAAAAATGCTTTAGAGCCATTCACAAACCTGGGTACTCTTCTTTGAGGTTGGGAAAATTGACATTGGTATACAGGACAGGTGCAACAGTGGCAAGCTCTCCAAGTGTCTCCTCCTTTTCCCACTTGAGTGTACTTCTTTGGGCATTTGACATGGCTTCAGTCTCTCCCTCAGGCAAAGATCCAGGGGGTGCAGGGGCAGGGCCATGGGCAGGGGAAGGCCATGGACCAAGTGCTTCTCTAGGCATTTGATTAAATTTTATATCCCTGTAACATCAATAATTACAGCTCAATGGGTTGAATTATTTTTCAGAGAAAAACAGCAACAACTATTTATTAGTTCTATAGTTGTTAAACATTATATTACCTTGGATTGTCAGAAAAAGGCATACGATTAAGAGGAGAAAATGTTTCTGGAATGCAGGGTCCTGTTCCTGGAGCTGTCGGAAAGCGCTGGCTTGGCCCTCTTAATCCATTTATCACTGACATTCTTGGAAACATGAGGTGTCCTAAATGCAGAACTTAAAAGGTCAATCTGATGCGTGGATGCTACAAAATACTGAATGTAGACATCAGATCTTCATAGTGATTAAAAATATACCTGCATTGGGATGAGGCATGCTAGTACCAGGTGTGGCAGAGACAGGTCCTGGACACTGGGGGTGAGGCACCTGCGGTGGAGGTGGTTGGCTTGTACTTGGGCTAAGAACTGCTGTGAAAAGATCTTCCACATCCTTGCTCTCCAGTTCTAAAATAAAGTAATGAATAAAACAAACTAGAATATAAAATTTCAGGCCTTTAGAGTCAGTCAGAGAGTCAGAGTCAGAAAGATTTGTCATTCGCATCTCATGTGTTACATGTGGTGGAACGAGATTATGTACACAGGGTCCCAGTTACATCCAACAATAAAATGTAAAAGAAAAACAGTAATAAGATCTAAGATATGAACTAAAAAACACATCAGCTACATAATACACTAAGCACTAATAGCATAAAAACATTACGTCGAACAGCAGCTTTAACTGTGGTCCAAGTGGTTAGTCATACAAAAATGATAAAATTACTAACCTGGAATTTTGTAAAGTTTGCTGAGCATTGACTCTGAAAATAAGAAAAAAAAGAAAAATAAAACCTTGGTAATGATTCTGAAGCAACATTGTTATTTAAGTGCCCTTTAATAAGTCAATTTTCCACATAGCTCAGTGCAGTGTGGTATCTCATAAATAGTTGTCAAATTAGTTAACAGACAGCTGACAAAGCAACTACTTCTCTTACAATATACAATTTTCAATCTACAATATCCTTCGTCTGTAATGTCAAAACAGACGTTTGTCAAAAAAAACACAAAAAAAACAAAACAAGAAGTCTCTACCCTTAAAAAATGACCAATGACTGTAAAGACCAACACAAAAATTAAGTTATATTAAAAAAGTTGACCTGCAATATTTAGAAAAAAGGACTGTGCAAACTCATATGATGCATTAAAAATGCCAATCCAAAAAGAGGGCTAAAATTGGCATTTTAAAAAATCTATTTTTTTTTTTTTTTACAAAGGAAAAATACTTCTCATCATTTTTGAATGTAACATATTCCAACAAAAATCCTCATACTGAATCTCCACTTTAAGTTCTGCTGTCCTGTGATTTTACAGTAATTCACTAAGTCAAGACTATATCTATTGTAGCATTTAATCTATAGCTGAAGGTTTTTTTTTATTTAAATGAATGTTAAACTAAAACAATAAGTAGTGTTTGAGAAATGCAGGAAATTGTCTCTTGAATCCTGCAACATCTCACTTGAATAAATATCGACAGTTACAATTCATTTTAGCTCTTTAGTCCTTATTTTATATTCCTTTTATAAAATAACTTGTGGTGGAAAACAGTGGGTATTGTCTCTTGGTTAGTATGGAAAGGTTTATGGTGTGGATGTAATGATATATATTGATGCCAGGCCTCCTCAACTAACCATCAGTGACCATCTTGTCCAACTCTGGGCTGAGAATACCGTCCAGGGGCTCCTCTGGGATAGTTCGAGGTGTCCTTCGTCCAGCCTGAGGTGCTACTGGGGAGCTTTCTGCCAGGGGTCCGATGTCCAGGCCAGCTGTGGAAACACACACAGATAAACAAAACAAATAAATAAATCTAACAAAAAACTAATTAATCTAAAAAAATTCCCTGCTGATGCTAATCATGAATTCATAAAACAAATAAAAAAAGTATGTGAAAATAAAACGTTCGTTTTGTCAGCCTGTAGAAATAAATAAAATTAAATGTATGATTTCAGCTCCTTGAAGTTTTTTGCTTTGTTTAACAGGTATTTAAAGGGGTATTTCAGCATTTACACCAGAATTAATGACTATCTATAAACAATAGTAGTTTGAAGCCATCCTTTACTTAAAAAATATCAAATTACTGATAAAATGCAACTGTTTATCCACCTGCATCAGAGAATTAGACGAATAAAATTGCTTTTCAAGACAAAAAACAAAGGGCATTTGAAACAGCTTTTTAATCATAAAAGCAAAGGGATTAAAGGGACAGATGTTTTCCACCATCTACAGTAACCATAAGGACATGTGCAGAGGTCTCTACCTCTCTGTACTGCTTCTAAAAGTGCTTATTTTTTAATGCTAGCATGTCCTTGTCAGTTTCATTGCCATCTTCAAGACATCTTTAGCTAAGCGGTTACAAATTTATGACGGGTATTCAGAGGCTCACAAACACAAAGACTGACACACCAAAAACACTCAGGTCAAAGCTGAGAGCGGTTAGGTAAGCGCTGAGCAGAGTTTATGAGTGTTAAAACAATTTGAAATGGTTGAGAAAAAGCTACAGTAAGTAAAAAAAAAAGCAGCCTTTCTGTTTACACATGTGCACGCAAACAAAGACACAAACCGTAGAAGGACGCACCAAAGCAAGGGAGTAATAGGCCATAGCACCCTTACCAAAAGAAGGTGGTGAGGTGTCAACCTTGAAGGGGCAAAAATCAAGACCTACAAGAACCCAAAACCAAGTGAAATAAAATGGTGAAGACAGAACAAGCAAAACACAGAAAATCAAAAATGGAAAATTAAAGCTTTGTTAAAGAATGTGGCAATAAATAAAATCACTAAAGGCTGTGAAAGCAAAATAAACCTGCTCTCTGGGGACATTTCTGTATTAGGAGAGGATGTTAAAAACCAACAGCTAGGTGGCTATTAATGCATTCGGCCACCATGACTGCCTGTGAAGATATATGACGCACCAGAGTCACTGCTTGGCTTTCCGAGCACACCCAAGATGTCTGCACCCGAGTTCAAAACATCAGCTAGATCAACTAATGGTTCCTCGGTTGGCTCTGTGAATGGAAGAAAAGGAAGGAACAAAAAAAGAAAAGAAGAAAACCAAATTGTCACAAATAATAAATGATGATGAATGAACAGGTGATTTGGAGCCCTGTGTGAATGCCACATGTAGATATGTTCTTGAATGAACACTGAATGAACTCAAATTTGCAAGAACTAAAACTTGCAAATAGGGATTTAGCAGTGACGGTCACATTTAGGCACCTGGCTGTTTGTTGACTTGAACATTGTTATACAACTGCAAAGGAACATATGCCATATAATAAAACAAAAATATTTAAAAGGCAGGACACACAAAGTGGGACAAAGTACGCTTGAAAACAAAAAGGCATACTTCACTCGTTAGGTTCTCTTAATTTAATTTACTTAACAAGATGTACACTGACATCCTCCGTCGCTGAAGGATTTGGATAATGAATTGCAGTTTACGAGGAGTGTTTTTCTGAACTGGAATTGAAAAGGGAATGCAAGTAAACCTTAATGTTTTTGGTGCAAGATATTAAAGTGGGGAGGAGTTACATTGTGTAGGAAAGCAGGTATTTTTTTTGTCAGAAGTGGTGCAAAGTGATGGATCCTGTCAAGTGGAGGAACTATTTTATCCACCACCAGGTGCAACGGCAGTCAGGAGTGGCCTTGGCCACCACATATATATGATCTTGGATCCATCTTGGATTTTGACCTGGCAACCTAATTTTTCAAAGGAAACTTTCTTCAGCCTAGATGCAGTCACACAACAAAATGGAAGTGGGTACCTCACTTAATTTTCATATTATCAAGCTCACAATATTCACGGCTGGACAGAGAGTACTTCCAATTCCCCCTTTTTGCTCTGCAATGGGGGACAATTAGCTCATGATACGGGCTAGTAAAAGTTAAACCAAGATAACCCTCAAATGTTTATTTTTCTCTTTTCTTGTCTGAAACAATTAAATACTGGCTGTTATACAGTGAATGCGTTCATTGTAATCTGTAAAAAAAAACTAATAAAAATGACCCTAGTGGATACAATGGAAAGAAACTTGAATGATAAAATAAAATATTGTGTACCAAACTACACTTCTACCTGTTGAAGAACACACTTGAACCAAGTTGTTTACAGCAGTGTTTTCGTTTGTTTTTCCTCATATAAAACATTTCAACTCATAAGTCTTACTTACTGCTATGATTTAGTGAATTAAAACATGTGAGCTTGAAAAAATGATGCAATGTGTATACATACGTGCTGCTGCATGTCTTGTAGGAACAGATGCTGCAGCGCTGAGCAGCGGGTCTGATGTTGTGCCCAGGAAGCTTGTGGTCGGGTGCTTCCTCTCTATCTGGCCCTGTCCGTCCTCCAGGAAGCCTGATTCAACTCCATGGTGCCTGCCCTGCTTGCTTTTGTCCAGTAGGGCCTTTCCAAAAAAAGCCTCCTGAATATGACACAGAGTACCAGTCACCTTTGTGTTGACATGTTTTTATGGTTTACTTAAGATTCAGCCTTTATTTATACAGGTTAGTCTCATTGTTTAAAAATGGTGACTTCATGCTTTGTGATATAAAAAGCAAAATCGACGAGTGAAAATCAGTCAAAGTAAATATAAAAATAAATAAAAAATCAGGAAGCTTGAAGAACAATATCACTTAGGTTGTTTTCACACCTGATAGTCTGGTAGACTCGGTTTGATTGGGGACCAATATTCAGAACATTTGTTTACATTTTCAGCTGGTGTGGTTCACATTCACACTGAACAATCACAATCGAGCCAACCTGTCCCCCCCTCGCCTGTGGTGGCATTGCACCAAGGAACTACTGAAGGAAACTACACAAAAACCTCAGAAGAAGACACTGAGCACAACTTACTTCTAGAAATAAAAACAAAAATGGAGTGATGTCAAATTTTAGAAGTTTAAGGATTTCTGTTTTGTCTGTGGCTCATGTGCCAAACAAACATTTTCCAACAATGGACTCAGAGCAGAAGATGAGGCAGAAGACCATGGAGAATGTTTTTCACACAAGGCAGCTGAGACGGCTCCTGTGAGGTATGAGAAATGCACGTTTGTTTTGGTTGTATTTACCCAGAATGCCCTGCGCTGTAGTCCACTTCCTGCTTTTGGAGTGGTCTCCGGTCCACTTTCATTCACAATGCATTCGAACCGCACCAGAGCTCACTTCAACCTAGACCTAGAGACCTAGGTTTTTAGGCAGACCAGAGATTGCTTTTTTGGTCCGCATCAGAGTTCGATTGCGTATTCACAACTCCCCAAACGAACTGGACTTTCTAGGCAAACGGACTAGAGTCCGATTAAAGCGGACTCAACAGGGCTGGTGTGAATGCACTCTTAAAATACAGGAAAGTGTTGCTTCCTTGAAGACAAATACAAAAAAATAGCCGTGCTGAGATGTCTGATGGCCTAAAGCAAATGACGTGAAACAGAAGGAAAAAACCCCAGCACATTTTCTAACAAGCACCTTCAAAACATCTAAAAAGTCAAGAAGTATCCACAGCAACATACGACCACTGCTTATTGCTGCACATTAAAAGCCAGACATGTTATCTCAATAATTAATGAAATCAGCTTCACTGTGTCAGACCTTTAGGTTTGACTTCAAACCAGCCCTCTCCTCTGTAATGTGGGGGGATAAAGAGCTGCACTTACAGCCACCAGTGACTTCATGCACATCACCTATCTTTGTTTTAGCCAATACAAGATGACACCAAGATACTAGCTAGGGACGGAAAGCCTTGAAGTCGTCACCAGTTATGTGTTTGTCAATTCATGACTGAGACAGGGGCCGTTTAAAAAGTTATAATCACAGACAAGTATCCTCCACTGAGAGTTCCTTCAGGCTGTTCCTCTTTCAAAAAACCCACAAAAGGGGCTCAGTGCACTTAAGTTCTGCAAGGCAATGTACTTTGGTTATCCAACCTTCCCCAGAGTGACAAAAAAAACAACAACTCCTTTTTAAAGATATGGTAAAACCTGAACAGTCATTTCATACACGTTTTAAATATGTCAGAAATGGGAAAACATAAGACTGAGTTTGTTGCAGCTCCTCAGACTGAAGTATTTTGGATAAAAGACGAGTTTCAACAAAGAAGAATCCGTCCAGAGGACCTGATTCAACCGTTGCATCAAACTCTAAAGTTATTACTTTAGCAGTGTTTCCCCAACCATTATCCAAGGAGGGTGGGTGCCCCGCCCTGTCAACAGAACTAAACACTCTGCCTACCAAAATCCCCCCACCCCTACACCAAATGTCCCACAACCGCTGAACAGGGAGAGTCGCTACAGATACCACCCCCGTCCAACAAATGTCCTGCCAAGGCCAATAATCTAGTAGAAACGCCGTTTAGTAGAATTAATTTGTACACATTTATGCAGGAATTCATTGCACCAAGTCATTGGCTGTACACTGGCATAAATGCCAAATAAAGTCTCAATCTGTGTAGAAGTAGTTACCAAATGGTCACCCGTGTACACTATGTTTTTTTCTGTTGACAGATGACTGACCTGTAGGTAGGCGGGGAATGCTTCCTCCAGTTTGGTCTTCTTCTTTCGATAACGTTTCTTTATCTTCTCTGGAACCTCAGGTCCGGATGGTGTCTCATCCACAGGAGTATCTGGTAGTGCCTCTGTCCAACCTGCAACAAAAGAAAAACAAAAATCATTTAAGTTATCTCTTTGAGGGTATAAATTATTACAATGAGGGGAAAAAAGAGCACAAATTTTAGGTGTCCTGACCATCATCTTTTCCGATGGGATTTTCGGACACAGAGCCAGAGGAGTCTTTTCTGCAGAGGGTTCTCTTAGCCTTGCCAGGACCTTGGCCTGGACGGCTCCTCTGGCGAACCATGAACCCACCAATGCCTTTAAGCATGAAAAAGAAAAAAAAACAGAAAGGCTTTTTAAATAAGCACACAGTACACTTAAACACAACATTTGTATTTTCATTACTGGCTGAAAATGTATTGAGTTTTCACTGGATGTTTCCGTTAATAACAAAATGCATTAAAGCTTAGAAACGCCAGCCAAAGCCCTCTGAGCACTCAAGTCCGTGAGATGGCAGCGCTTTGCTACAGCTTCAACGTTGGGCATGTACTGCACCATTTTACGCTTCAGAGGAGCTGTCTCCTTCAATCAGGTGCCCTACCCGGCCGGTACGGTTTCCTCTTCCTCTTCTTGATGCCGTCGGCCCCCTTGGAGTCATCCTCTACTGGCTCCCGCTCCAGGCTTGAGTCAGACTTTGTCTCACAATCAAGGAGCTCCGCCTCTGCGAGAGGTAGAAAGAACTGATGATGAGTGACAGCCCAGCAGCTGAGAACACCCCAACCAGGCCCCTCATCACAGCAACAGGGTCAATTCTATCCGAGACCAACTCAGTGGAAAGACATTAACCTGATTGAAATAAGTTCACCAGTCCCATGACTTTTATTTATAGAGGGACTTGTCTGTCTTAGTCTTGTAATAAAAGTCTCACTGATCAAAAAATAAACCAGAAGAATGCTGAGTAGAAATCCTAGTTTCTCTGCTCAACAAGCTTTCAAACCAACCATTATTCTCCAAGGAGATATCAAACATGACAACATAAAAAATACATCTCTGATCAAAACAAAAATCCTGAAGCACATAATCCAGGTTGTTCAGAGCTCGATGTATGAATTTTACCAACAGTACTGGTGTGTAATAATAAAACACTTATAATGAAACAAATACACAAAAAGACCCAAGACCAAGCTTGTGTGAAACGACAGGCACCTCTGTTGTCCTCCATGTCTTCATCTCGACAGAGTTCAGAAAGAGGGTCCACAGGGGCCTGAAGCACTGCCACGCTGTTCTGGTTAATGATCTTCAGCTTCAGTTTGGGTTTGGGTTTCCGTCGTCGTGATGCTGCAGCAGACAAGCTCTGGAGCTGACAAAGTCCAGACTCTGTCAAACAAACACCGTCCTGGGTGTAGGTTCTTGATAGATCTGAAAAAAAAAATAAAAAAAATAGACAAGATTAAGTGTTGCTGAAGTGAGCATGCTGTTTAGAAATCAAACGGAAATCAACAGAAAAAAAAATGCATTTGCTGCATTTAGTATCTGTCATTTGCAACATTTTAACTTACCTATTTCTTTTACTCTTGAGATGGTCTGTGACATAAATGGTGGCTCAGTGGTTTCTCTAATCTTGGATACAACTACAACAGATGAAAACAAAAGAGACTTAAAAGAACTGAAAGAACAGGATACATGTCATTCTGACATTCATGAGCTTTAAGGCAGACAAAAAGTATCAGGTAAAAACATAAATTAATTACTGTCCTCCCACCTTTAGTGGTCTTGAAAGTTCGGCACATTGTGCAGTCAAAACTGTTCTCTGCAGCTTTTTCTACATCTTCCTCTGAGTGAAGATTCTGACAAGAGGCGTGAAACCATCTGATGACAAGAGAGAACAAAGTTTAGATTGGTGCCAATTATTACAGTGGATTAGTTGAGTCTTCCCCTACTGAGCTGGCAATTTCGCTGAAACGCTACACACCTGTCACACTGGCGACACTGCACAATGATGGAGCCTTCACTGTAGTCCAACAGACAGACTGGGCAGGACGTAAGGCTGGCGCAGGGAGCACACTGAGTGTAATTATTCTGCCACTCACACCTTAGTCCTGAAGTGGTGGCACCACACTGAGTACAGGACACACACCTGCAGGACAAAGGAGGAAAGGTGTCATTCACCACCAACCAAATGGTTCAAAAAGAAAAGCTCATAAATATACTTTAAATCATTCCTAGTTACTTTACAGATAATCTGCTCAACAGCTTGATTCTGTATCTTAAACACAACCTCATACAAATTTAATTTATTGTCTTCTAAATGAGTTACTAACCACTTGCACTTCCAGCTGTCCTTGGGGACATTCTGCAGTGGAGGGTCCAGACAGTAAGTGTGATAACTGATGTCACAGTCGTCACACAGCAGCAAGCGACCAGGATCTGTAGCTTGGCCACAAGCTTCACAAACCGTGCACTCCAGACAGCGCCAGCCTTTACTCAGCACTACTTTGGTGATCTGTGGAAAATAATGCAATGATGACGCAGGGTAATTGAGCGACTTTACCAGAAAAATATATAATCCCTAATATGCATTAAGGATGTGAAGATTAATTGATTTGTAAAACTGTGCTTCGTCTTCATCATGTGAATCTGCTTATATTTCAGAAAATAATAACTTGTGTTTAATTGTTCACAGTGTAAAAAAATATCCGTTTGCAATCTGTTGCTGACATACTTAATTTTTGAATATTGTTATGTAATTGGGAGTCAGGTTTCATGAAAGTTTAAATTTAAAACACGACGTGTCTTTTTTATGTGGCAGTAAAAACATTCTCAGTAATTGGAATGCAGTCATTGTTTGTGGTATCGTTGAATCTCAATGTATTGAATCAAAACCGATTTATCGGTGGGGCCAACATTTTAGGCCGATTATGGGCGTTTGGTTGACACATCGTATCGGTGATAATTGTCCCAGTACGCGCTGATATAAACACTAGGAACGAGCTGTGTCCTTGCTTGCAAAAGGCGTAGCTGTAGAATGTATCCAGCAGAGGGTGCATGCGGACTATTTTCAAGTTATGGCCTTCAATTTAACTTTCACTGTCAGCACAGACAAAGCAGCGAGCAATACTGTGTGTATTTTGCTGAACAGAGCATGTTAAGTTTATTTTAACTGAGCTGTAAAATAAATCAACAATAATAAATTATCTTCAATCCTCCAACCCGCTTGTCATTAGCTTTGTTCTTCTCAAGTTAGCAAGCTAACGTTTAGATAACCTAGCATTAGAGTTGCATTCGGGCCTAAAAAAATCCAACCCGGCTCGGCCTGAGTCCATAGGCACCGTGTCTGAGCCCGACCCGACTAATTAACTGTAATTAGAGGCCCGAACCCCCACAAAAAAACAACAACTGTTTTTTAAAATTTTTTATTAAGCTTTTACTGCGTTTTTAAGCAAATGCGTTTGACATGATAGTTTTAAAAACGTATTTCAGAGAAAGGAAGATATAAGATTTCTTGTTTATTAACATACAAAACAAATGGTCTAAAAAAAAAATCAACTCTAAAGATAGGCTATTATACAGATGAACAAAAATATTTTTAGAGCAAAATAATTTGGAAAAATGTGGAACAAGGTCTTTTTAACTGAGCGCGCTGCTCGATTCGGATTTTGTAGCTTCAGGTGCTGCAACTTCTTTCACTTTTCATTTTCAGATGAGAGCAGGGTGCGGACCTGAGCGTGCACCTGACATACATCAGCAGATCTCACTGTGCTGGCATTTTAGTGAGTTATCCCGTTTTAGCTTTAGTTTAATACTTTCCAGCTCCATTATGTCGCTTGTTGTGGGTCAAATGCAAATCCTCAGATGTGTGATAAGAGCAAAGCAGGGCAGGCAGGGCCACATGCGCAATTGTTGCGCAATGTGCCAGCGCTACTCTTTCTTTTCACAGTTTGATTAACTTGTGCACTCTATTTTCTTTCTTTCATCATCCTCAACATATAAACTTACTGCCTCCTCCTCTACAAGTAGATTAACACAACTTTATTTTGTGCATTCTTTAGTTTTCTTTGCGCTGTATGATTCGTAAAACCGCATCATAGAAGCCCGAGCCCAACCCGGCCCACCCATCAAGCACTTAATTTTGGCCAGACCCGACCTGAATTTCGGGTTAGGTCGGGCCAGAAATCGCAACTCTACCTAGCATAAGCTATTGCCATGTAAAACTTCAGCCAGAATAAAACTAACATAGAGGTAAAATATATATCAGTGTTAGTAACGTTATCTTTGTCGTCCTCAGTGAAATGCATTGTTTGTCTGAAATCTTTACTTCTCTGCAAAGAAAAAAAAATTCCTCTGCGGTCCATACTAATTAGGCCTTCACTATACGTGACTGACTGTTTAAACAATGAGCAGGGAAGGACATTTCTTTGTTTAATTTATATTTTTGTAACACACTTGATAACCTCATGGTGAATAGTGGAGGATAGAAAATGTGAACGTATGTTAGGAAGACTGTTTCAAGACTTCAAGTGTTAAAACTGGTTTAAAAGTAGCTGTTTACTTAGATTCTTGGGAGTGGACAAAGCTAAAAATCTTTTCAGCCATTATATCGGTTATCGACATTAGCCCCTCCCTCCCAATATAGGTATCGGCGATAGCAAAATTCTGATATCGGTCGGGCTCTTAATCAAAACTCACACTGATTTGCATCAAATTGTAAAAATGTTGAATCATACTACTGCTCATGCATTTTTAACTAAATAAATTATTGGCAGTTTGTTAAGATACGCATCATAGTGGCCAGAGACCACAGATGCACAACCATAATATATAAATACATAGCTCAATAACAAGAATACTGTACCTTTAGGCCAACACAGAATGGATGGTAGCATTGGCCACACTGAGCACAGGCCAAAAGACGACCCTCGGCACCGAGACCAAAACTCCCACACACTACACACATGTCCTGAAATAAAGAAATAACAGAAAAAAGGTGCAACATAATGAGTAACCAGATTTCAGAACAATAGTCCAGCTGTATGAATAACGGTGAAGCTTACAATAAGAGTTTACAAAAATCCAATTTTAATATTTAAAGCACCAATCTTTTCTTTTTAAAAAAGTTATCTGTTACTATTTATTATTATTATTTATTTGGTAACAGTTCCTGTTTTAAATGTGCTATACAAATAAATTTGACTTGACTACTTACAGCAACAGAAACTTTGAAAAAAATTAAATAAAACGACAGTCAGTATTTCAATGTGATGTAAGTAGTAAAAATCTATTGTGAAAGTTTAATTATAAGAACACCTGATACGAATGTTGGAAATAAAAAGTCAAATCAATCTGAACACCTATAAGAAAATAAAAATAAGACAAGCATACTTGTTTTAGTGTGAAGCTGTCGTTGCTGGAGAATATGACGACTGTGTTATGCATTGCATTCTCTTCCTCCTCTCTGAGTGGGTACTGTGTTTCTACTGTGGTGACCTGAAGATCAGGAGAAAAATACAGAAAATAAACAGAAGTGTTATAAAAAGGTTATAAAGCCTATTCTTATTGCAGAAATAAACCACTTGGTGAATAAAGTTTAATTTGACTACTTAGAAAATACCTTATCGCACCAAAACGTTGTGCAATTTTTTTAAATGAAGGCTGAACTAGTTATTAAACCAAAATATCTTAACATTTACTATTTGGAAAACTGTAGAAAAATGCATTGAAGTTCATCATACCCCAGGGTTGATAATGGGGCTCACTCCGTTCTTCCCTCTCGCCCTGCCACGCCCAGCTCGACCGGACAGACCTGCACCTCTGGGCCTCCTCCTACCAGGGAAGCCTGAGCCTCGACCCTGTAGAGGAAGGAGGGAGATTTTAAAAATAAATCAGACTATAAAGTAACAATCCAGATAAAAAAAAAAAAAAAGGCATACACAAACTCCAGCTGACTGCAATAAACTTTTACTAACACACAGGTGGTAAAAAAAAAACATAAGTTTGTTTTATTAGGTTACAGATGTCAAACTATCCAATGTGACTGGCAAAATCTCAAAGTGAAATCTCAAATCCCTCAAAAAGTAACAATCTCCTCTTCATTAATATGTATAAACCCAACTGTCACTGACTGATGTCATCACTGCCTGGATTAATGACACTTTCCTCTCACTACTATTGCACAATTATAATTTAATCATAAACAAATATTGGTTTAGTTGTTTGGAAATTGAAGATTTGCTCAATAGGTGATGAGAAATTCAGGATGATTTAGTCAGTCATTTTATCCTGAAAGTTAGCAATGTATGTTACACTGACTAAAGTAAGAAATACATTAAAATCCAGATGATTATCATAGTGTTCCTGAAGACTTGAGTGTTTACAAACAGACAAAACTTGATCTCTTCACAAGGGTTTGAACACACGTTTTTTTCGTTGATAACTAGATGCTAAATCACAAGTTGTTGACCTAGAGTTTTAATTATTTTATGTTTAGTTGTGGTACAGAACATCATTCTTCGGCTTCCACCCATCGGGCAAGACTGAAAATTGAAGGTCTGGCTGTCACAGAAAGATAATACAGAACAAGTGCCTTGTGTATCAGCGCTGTTGAATAAAAATAGAGCCGGACAAGGTTGAGTCAGATCCTCTGGATGGATTCTTCTTTGTTGAAACGTTTCGTCTTTTATCTAAAAACTTCTTCTGACACAATGCAAAAGACAAAATGTTTCAACAAAGAAGAATCCATCCAAAGGACCTGACTCAACCTTGTTAGATTTATCTACCTGGATTATTGAGCAGCATCAGGACAAAAACAGAGAACATTTTCATATTATCTATTCTCATTTGTATTTTTCAACTATATTGTATTGACAGCCATGTCTGACATTGGAAAAAAAGCTTGCCAAACTAAAAATAAGTACAAACAAAACATTTAGTCAAAAACCATAAAACAATTTGTGGGGAGGGGGGGGGGGGGGGGAGAAATCACCTGATTCTTGACATTTACCAAACTGATGCAAATGACTACTAGACAGGCATCCATTAAAGTGAAAAGGTCTCTGCCAAGTTTCAGTGTGCCTCAGGCACATTTCCCCACAGGAGGCCGGAGGCTAATCAGGATTGTCAAACTTACATCACAGAACCTCCTAAAACCTCCGCTAAAAATTCTTCACACATGGACTAAATTTGATCACGATTCCAAACTGGAGCACTATTCTTTAAATCACGTTACATAACTACATGGTTATTTAACGGGAACTAAAGCACGTTTAACTAAGAGTAACACTGTTTCTAGCTCTTAAAGCCATTTTGCCGAGTCAAAAATCAAAACAAATTTACTTTTAAAATACACTGCCTGGCCCCAAAAAAAGGTCACACACTAATATTTCGTTGGACCGCCTTCAGCTTTGATTACAGCATGCATTTGCTGTGGCACTGTTTCGATAAGCTTCTGCAATGTCACAAGATCTATTTCCATCCAGTGTTGCATTAATTTTTCACCAAGATCTTGCATTGATGACTAGGCACTAGGCATGTTGGGTGCATCACTTCACCTGCCCCTCTTCTTACCCTGATGCACCCATCACTCTGGAACAGGGTAAATCTGGACTCAGCCCACATAACCTTCTTCCATTGCTCCAGAGTCCAATCTTTATGCTCCCTAGCAAATTGAAGTCTTTTTTTCCCAGTTAGCCTCACTGATTAGTGGTTTTCTTAAGGCTAAACAGCTGTTCAGTCCCAATTCCTTGAGTTCCCTTTGCATTGTGCATTTGGAAATGCTCTTACTTTCACTATTAAACATAGCCCTGAGTGCTACTGTTGTTTTTCTTACATTTGATTTCACCAAATATTTAAGTGATTGCCGATCACAATCATTCAGGATTATTTTCCAGTCACATTTCTTCCTCGAAAACAACGGGTCCTCACTATCCTTCCAGTTTTTAATAATGCGTTGGACAGTTCTTAACCTAATTTTAGAAGTTTCTGTAATCTCCTTAGATGTTTTCTCTGCTTGATGCATGCCAATCATTTGACCCTTCTCAAACAGCTGGACATCTTTTCCACAACCACTCCATGTGTCTTTCAACATGATTGTTTAAGAAATGAGAAGCAACTCATTGCACCAGTTGGGGTTAAATAACTTGTTGCCAGCTGAAAGATAATCGCCCATGTAGTAATTATCCAATAGGAGGCTCGTACCTATTTGATTAGTTGAATCCAGGTGGCAAATCTTTTTTTTTGGCCAGGCAGTGTATAAATCATTGAGTGCACATTAGAATAAGACCCAATTTGTCCAGTCCATTGTCTGCTTGCAAGACCTGTGTGGTATGAGTTTCATCATCCATACCTGGCTGCTTGGGACCACCACATACAGACTAGGATTTTATGACTTTGCAGACTATGCATGCAGCCAACACCTGCACACACTTAAAAAGTGGCCCCATAAACAACAAAGAAAGATGATTACCAGTTAAACCACAAGTAAAAATAATAATGCAGTTGTTTGGAGAAAAAAAAAAATTCCTCAAATACACATGTGGATAATGAATGACTCAGAGACCAGAAGAACACAAAACTGTTGAATTCTGGTGATAGATCACTAATATTCCCTTTTTTAATTATTGTTGAAAAGCCAATGCATCATCACTACCAGTTAGGCATACCTGTGTAGTATGTACCTATGTGTCAAAAGCGGTGGAGGAGCGGACCCAAAGATAGTATAAATGAGTGCATCCACATTAATGGCTTTGTGAAGGTAAACACAGAAACGGTCATTCTTAAAAATTGAGAAAAACAACAGAGCATAGCTGACTAAGAAAAGGTCAGATGCCAATGGTTTCTAAATTATTTGCATAAATTTTACAATGTCTTTGATGAATTAGATCAACTGCAAACTAACTTATGAGCTTCCTCACACTGTAAAGTGGAGATCAGTTCTCAGATGTTGGTTACAGTGTACATTAGTGAAAACCAGCAACACTCAAAAAAAAGAGTGTGCATCACAGCAGGAAGGGCAGAGGGGGCAGCAGCTGCCTCACCATCTCTGGTGAGACACTGTATTTACCACTCTGATGCTCCACCCCGGGCTGCCGGAGGACTGCCTGGTCCTTGGGTCCCACCCCTCTGGCTGGTCTGGTGACCAGGACAAGGGTGAGCTCACACTGCTATGGGGGCTCCATGCACCCTAAGGTAAGGAGGGATGGGTGAGAGAGTGAGAGAGGGAAGGAGGAGGGCGACAAAATGCAGCAACTTAAAAACAGTCAGCAAAGAAACAAAAACAAACAAAGAAAGATGTTAAAGAAATGTGATGAGCTTTGAATGTATACCTTTGGAAAATCTTCAAAACACATCCATCTAAGCAGGGGTACAAGAAAATCATGCATGCCGAAGCATTTACAGGTCAAGTTATAAGGTGTGTTAAAGCCAATTGTCATTTTTCATGCAACTACTTTAAAAAGCATAGTTCTGGCAAGCCATTGAGTTAGTAGCACAATTTGTTAGGGTTAATAATGCTCCATACATAAAATAGAGGGGGCGGTTACATTTTAACATGGCAATCTCATATATTTAGAATGCCAACACAAAAACGACATTAGTGCATTATCCAAACAAATTATAGATTAAAAAGGAAATTCCTGATTTTGTAGCGATTTTTACAGAATGTGGAAAAAATAACTTCCGCCCTGTGCTAACTTAATAAATTAGATCTATATTCACCTGCATCAGTCCTAATTATCATACCCAAGGGTGTATTTCATGCAATCATTTTGTCAAGGAAATCCACATTGACTGTGTGGTAGTCTAAGAATTTTGCTGCCAATAATAAAGAGAATTTATGGTAAACAACAAAAATTCCCCACTGCCATTGATGGTGTAATATGTAGAATAGCAAAATATGGTAATTATTATCCGACTTGATGAATAAAACAATGAAGAATGTTCATGAAATGACCATGAAAAGAAAAGAAAGCCTGATGATAATGCCTGAGGTGGACAGCAAGAACTGCCAGCCAGAAGAGTTCAAGCCATAAAAAAACAAGACTGACAGGAAATAATTAATATTAAATTGGGATCTTTAAGATGTGACTAATAACTCATGTTTACAAAAATTGTGAAGGGAGGACAGCAAGTGGAGAAGGAGCAGTTTTCCTGCTATGCTTGTGCAGGGCACTGCAAGGTGTAAGTACAAAGAAACAACCAAAAACAATGTAATTGAAAGCAGTACCCACAGCCATACAAGCTGCTTGGATCATATTTGAACAGAAGAAAGGCAAGAATCCAAATTCATAGTGCATGACCCACAGGACACACAAGTAGTACATGAGCTTCCAGCAACAATTACTAAGAAATATGCTTTACGTTTATTACTTGAGCAGAAGCAGTGAATCAGGTAGAACAACCCAATAATTATCACTAATCTCTCCCACCTTCTGCCCACGATCATACCTGCTTCACTCGTGGTCTCCCTGGAGAGAATTTCCTCTTGGTAATGGCAGGTTTTCCCATGCCAATCTTCGGTGTGAACGGAACAAGAGGAGTTGTTGGTATTAAACTGCTGTGGTCACTTAGAGTGGACAGGATCTGAGTCTGAGCTGGTTCTCTGAGAGTCGTCCCTCTGGCCAGAGAAGAAGAGTGAGAAGGAGAAGAAACCATTTCAACTAATCTTTCCACAGCAGTTTTGAAGGGCTTTTCCTCTGAAGACAAGCTGGGAAATGACATTTTGGGCTTGCTGTCCAGTGTAGAGCTGATATTCTCTGATGTACAAGAAGGTGAAGGCTTAACAGTCTCTGCCAGAGTCATATGAAATATACCCTCATTCCTCTCCTTGTTGGGGTCTTTTGGAGCAGTTTCCAGGAAAGAAGCCCTGACTACATCCATACCTGAAGGCTGGTATAATGTGACTTCCATTGGTTGTTCAATGAAAGGTAGTGATGTAGTACTTGGTTCTTTGGTTGTTGAGATGATGGCCTTAAAATCCTTTGTGCTGGGGTTGACCGTGCCCTGTTTGGGGCAGGCCTCTGTATTTGCTGGTTTGAGTTGAAATGTGGTATCTTCTGTCTGTACTGCCTCTGAAGGCGGTTGGGCTGGACAGGATTCCTGGCTTGGAGAAGCTGAAGATGTAGGCCTCTCTGTGGAAGCGAGCTGGACTTCAGCTACAGGTTTAGAGTCTTGAAAGAGAAAAAAAGTATATAGTGTTATTTATATTTATTCAGCAAAAATACATTAAACATATAAGTATACGACTGTACGACTCAATGTAAAATCTACATAAAGTTATTATCGTAAATTATGGCATATTTATGCCATCAATATGGAACGAATGGAGGAAACTTCACACCAGTGACTTTGTCTAAAAGTAAGTGTCAACAAATGTTTGATTACATGTACAAACCTGGGTTCAAATCATCTGGAGTTTTGTTGACCGCAGGTTCGGTAACTTGTGTATCAACGTCTGCTCCTCCTGAGGCTTCTAAACACAAGTACATTAGGTTTTTAAATACTTATTTAGATGTTATCTCATTAAAGACAAAAACAAACAGTGTGGACAGACCCCAAACACAAATAAAATAAAAACACCTCCAACAATTTTAAAAGGGGCGAGAAATGACTGCCTCTTCATGGCAGACAGGAATAGCACTAAAAGTAAATGTTAATTAGAGTGGCAAGCAGACTGACAGCATTAAACAAGAGAATCTTTAATCACGTGCCACATTTCCGCATTAATCTTATTTCTCACTCGTTTTGTAGCGTTTTCTCTCTCCATTGGGTTTTGTATCAAAGCCATCAATGTGTTCAACTTGTCCAGCATGAATGGAACCAGTCATTCCTGACTATCAGGAATCCACACATCGAGCCAATATTCTGCCAAACAGCATCTGACAGTACAGATAGCCTAGTCTTAAGGAGGCACCCACTATTTCAATCGACAAGTTCCCATGTCACACTGATCCCGACACACACATGCACCTGCTACGCATCTCTGCCAGGGAAGGGGATAACCATGACAACCAACATCCCAGAGTCTGTGCGCTCTGGGCTCATGACTGTGCAGCTTGCAGGTGCACATCCGGTGCTCATGCCAGAAAGTAAATTAGGGAGACGAGCTTTCTACCATCTCTTGCTATCAGCTATTGACCAAGCTCAGCTCACGCACTTACACTCATATTAGAGATTAATAAAACACTTGAGTTATGGATGAGGGTGACATTATTTAGACTGCAGCCTGAGTCTAAAGTCAGGTCTAACAGCACTGACAGAACAGATTTAACAGCGCTCGTCTGTAGCATCACTATAGACACATTCGTTCACTCTGAACTAGGGCTGAACAATTGATAGCATTTGCGATAATATTGTGATTATGATAAAACGAGATTTTCTAATCGCAAAGGCTGCAATTTGACTGGTCACATGATTTGGTTATGTCACTTGCGAGCGAGTGGAACAGAGCAAAGCAGAGCAGGGAGCAGGAGAGTCAACACTGCGCTTTAACCAGTTGCACAATGGCATCAGGTTCGACAGAAGCGGACACATCTGAAAGTTTGGTACCAAAGAGAGGCAGCACGTCCGTTGTTTGGAATTATTTTGGCTATAAAAAAGAAGACGCTGCGCAACGACATGTATTGTCCAGAACCTGCCTTGCGCTGTTGCTACCTCTCAAGGTAACACCACAAATCTTTATCAACATAAAAAAACCACCACAGCCATTTACAATAGTTGCATGGCTAGAATGCCAATGACCAGTGCTTCAACTTCAAGTAAGCAAAGTACCAGCCGACAGGGATCACTGACCGTAGGTATTACTCTGTATGAACGTACTTCGAAATGGCACGCGGAAATAATTCGAGCAATAATGGTGTTCATAGCAAAAGGCATGACGCCCACCGATATAGTGACCAAACCTGGGTTTTGTGGCTTTGGTAAACACAGTGGATAAGCGGTACAGAATGCCCTCATGCACACATTTTAGCCAAGTTGATATCCTGGAGATATACAAATAATGCAGAAACAGAGTTGCAGCGGAGTTGAAAACGGTGGAGTTTTTTGCAACTGAAACAGATTGATTAATTTCTTGTGTTAGTTGAAAAATACATGAGAAGAAGACATTAAAAAATAATGGCATATTAAATCGCAATACTGAGGTAAAAAAAAAAAAAAAAAAAAAAAAAAAAAATTGCAATTAGAATATTTTCCAAAATTGTTTAGCCCTACTCCGAACGGATCAGAAGAGGTATTTTTAGAAGTGCTGAATAACTCTGGTTAAAAATATATTTGCATGAAGTGCAAGAGTGGGAGTATAGTTATATTACACACATTTTTAATTGCAAATTTGTACTGAAATAAAATGTCTCTATAACCATTTGAGAGGCATATGAGGTTCAACAGCGCAACAACAAGCAAAAATGCCACAGATGCACAATACTGGGGTTTTCAAAAAAGTTTGAATTGTGCACCACAAAAGGAATTAGTTATCAATACACTATTGTAGTAGGATTTTAATTGCATGCTAACTTTTGTAGCATGGCACATTTATTTGTCCTATGACAGCTTCACCTTAAAGAGTGAATGGTGATGCTTCTGTAGTAGTGAAATCATAGTAATGGCTCTAGTAGCAGCCAAGATGTGATTTTTAGCAAGGTCAGCAATCATACACAGCTGACTGCAAACAACAACTGATGAGGGAGGTGCAAATTCAGTCTACACAAAACTTTCCTGCACCCTTTCTTTAAAAAAAGTCATGAAGGGAGGATGGAAGCTTGTTTAAGCCTGGAAACAATGACAGAACATTTTTGTTTTTCTGGCAACCAGCCTTAACTCAAGATCCAAGCATCTAATGTACATAGCCCAAGAAAAAAAAACTGAGGTCTTTAAAGGAAAATCAACATCCATCAGCTCCTTTTGAATGAACAGATAGCTCACAAACTGTGCCTTTAAAAAAATAAAGCAGGGAAAGCAAGCTGTTGTTAGCCAAGACAAATAAGAATGCAGGAAAAAAGTAAAATGAGACCATCTGCGCATGGTGAGCAGTACAAGCAGACAGGCTGTGTGAGGAGTAATGAATGAGCCAGCATTGCTCCAAGGCAGGTTAGCAGACAGGGGATCTGTGATATAATTATTATCATGGTACTTCTATCCATTCTGTGTCGACAGTGGAATCAGCTGGCTAAACGAGTGGGCTGCTTATGGCATCCTCAGCTCACAGTACTTTTTCTTGTTTGTACATTCTAGTCCTGGCAGATTTTAGAAGCAAAAAAAAAAAAAACCATCCCTAGTGTCAATATGAATTGTAACAACAAATTTTAGAAACACTAACAGATTCTGGGATGATGGTAGGTAAGGGTGTCGCTAAGGGTGCATTCACACCAGCCCTGTTTAGTCCGCTTTAATCGAACTCTAGCTCGTTTTCCTAGAAAGTCCGATTCGTTTAGGGAGGTGTGAATGCGCCATCGAACTGTGTCACGGAACAAAAAGGCGAACTCTGGCCCGGGCTAAAACCTAGGTCTCGGTACGGTAGAAGTGAACTCCAGCGCGGTTCGAGTACAGTGTGAATGTAAACAGACCGAGCCCCGCTCCACAGGGTAAACAAACACGCATTTCTCTGACCTTATATGGAGCCGTCAGCTGCCTTGTGTGAAAAACAATATTCTCCATGGTCTTCTGCCTCATCTTCTGCTCATGCCAAGTCCATTTTTGAAAAATGACAAAATATAACTCCTAAAACTGCTAAAACTTGATGCCACTTCATTTTTATTTTTATTTACAGAAGAAAAAGAAGACGTGTCTTCAGAGGTTTTTGTGTCGTTTCTTTCAGTAGTTCTTGGTGCAGCGCCCCCTCAGGCGAGCGGGGGAACAGGTTGGTTCAACAGGTTGACTCGACTGCACAGTGCAGTGTGAATGCAAACTCACCAGCTCAAATGTAAACAAAATGTTATGAATATTGGTCCCGAACCGAACCGAGTCTACCGGACTATCTGGTGTGAAAACGACCTAAATGTCAAAATATGAGGTTTAGGTCTTCTAGTGTTTGAGCCAAAGTTCAAGCCAACTCTAGTCTCCAGAAACATTCAGATTACAAATACAAATATTGTTTTTGAAATTTAAATCAGAAATAATTAAAGGAAACACATTTACAAGATCTTTGTCATCAAACTCCCTAAATTATTGTGCAGAAACTTAGCAAGATAGGTAGGAAGAGGGCCACCTAGGTAGGAAGAGGGCCACCTGCATCATGAAGGACCCCACTCACCCAGCACACACACTTTTTGCCCCACTCCCCTCAGGAAGAAGGTTGAGGAGCATTAAGTGTAGAACCACTAGACTGAGGAACAGCTTCTACCCTGAGGCTGTTAGACTAATGAATATCTAACCAGGATAATCACATGTTGTTGCTGCTGATACGTTTCATATTGCTGTGTTCATTCGTGCTCATCTGCTCACACACTCATGTTCGTGTTGCTGTTCAGCGTATTGTGTTTGTTTTTATGCTATTAGTGCTTAGTGTATTTTTAGCTATGTTTTTCTTACATGTCTTAGATCTTGTTAGGTTTTTTTTTTTCTTTTTCTTTTACATTTTATTGTTGGATGCAACTGGGACCCTGTGTATATAATTTTGTTGCACCACATGACAATAAAGAATCCCTGAATCTCTGAATCAAGATCTTACAATGACAGGTATTAAATTGATCCATTTCCAAATTAGCCAAGAGTCCACTGTGCATCTGCCTTTACCTCAAATAGTGATGCTGTGGAACTTTGATGTGAACTTAAATAAATAAAAAATTATAATATGATAAAGCTTATTTTATGGGTTCTTAACTAAAAGTAAAAAAAAATCCATTGTTTATGCATAGGAAGTAAATATTTGCTAATAAAAACCAATTGTTGGAATTGGGCCTAAATGGCCAGGAATTATGTGAATGTGACTTCATCAACAAAGACTGTTTCATTTCCACTGTTAGAATGATTAGCACACTTAAGAAAAACAGATTGTTTTTACCAGTATCTCAGAGAAATAAATAAAAATCTAAAGTCAAAACAACAAGATAGAGCAAATAAATCAAGAAGTTAATGTGTCAGTAGTCCAGAATTTTTAAAATCTAGACTCACCAGGATTCTGGTCTGATTTGCCCAACATCTCTTCCTGGATGGAGACCTGAAGAGGCTCTTGATCTGAGTGCAATGGGACAGCAAGTACTTCTGGTTTAGGGTCGTTGTGCATTTCAGAGGGCAGCTGAGAGCCACCTTCAAGGTCTGTGTGCTTTTGAGCCAGCTGTAAGCCAGTCTCAGAGTCTGTGTGCATGGAGGCTGGTTGAGGGCTGAGTTGTGAGCCGAGGTCCATTTCCTCTGCTTGTAGCGCCTGCCCTTCGGTCGGAGACCTGCAGTTGGAACAAACATAGTCCTCCCTGGGGTGGATTTCTCCTTGGCCTGAGTTCTGACGCTCACATTCCAGATGTAGCCATCTGAAAGAAGTGCAAATAAACCATTAGGCAGATATCTCTTCCAGCCTTAGAGTTCAGATTTAAATTACACTGTGGTTTTCACAGTTTCCTAAACACTAGATACAAAAGAGGAACAAAACAAGTTTTAGACAAATGTTTCTTACCTCTTACAAGTTTGGCAGAACAGTAAGTCTTTGTGATGCTCGGGGTCCAGAATACAAGAACACATGGGACAGCACAGAGCAGGGTCCTGGTTCTGGACACAGTTCTCACACAGCAGGCTGGTGTGGTGCCACTGTCCAATGGTTCGTGTCCCACACTGGATGCATACTCTGCAGTTCTGAGGACAAAATGAGCATATCCAAAACGATTTAGACATACTACCATATTAATAGAAAGACTTGACACTTCATTCATAAAATAGAAGACGTGGAGACCCACAGTGACAGCATATATTAAAAAGTGACTTTTTAACATATATATGGTAGAACTGCAAAAATACAGTAAAAAATATTTCTTTTAGTAAAGTCAGTGAGATTAAGTTGGCTTTTTTGTAACCAGAGAAAGTGTCTGGCTGGACCGTTTTTGTTTTCAACATTAACATTAAAAGAAATTTGAACTACAAACAATATTCAAACATTAATTAAGATAAAGAAAGGGTCTTGCTTAATATCAAATTGACCGATTCTAAGGGGGAGTCATGAGCTAAACGTGAACAGATCATTGACATACAATGATTTTCTCCTGAGCTACTACACAAGATACATTTCAAGCATTGTGGCTTCTTTAAAAATTGGGTTTACATCGTCAACGTCAACATTATTAGACATGTCTTGGTTTTTTTTTATTTGGGGTTGAATTTATTTAACTATCCGTGATAAAAAAAGGTTTGTAAATTTTAATGGCACATGACATTAGGCCTTGCTTTACGACCATGACCTTGTAGCAAAAATTATTAGAGGGGTACGCAACCCCTCAGCTAGTGATGGTACATACAGTATTAGGGGTGGGCGATATGGCTCAAATATAATATTGTGATATTTCAGAGCATTCTGACAATACCGATAAATTTTGTGATGTAACAACAACAACAAAAAAAAACCTAACAAAAAAAAAAAACCCCAAACAGAAATCATAGTTATTCATTTGACAAAATGAACTTGTTGCTTTGCAGTATTATATATATATATATATATATATATATATATATATATACACACATCTCAACAAGGGTTAATTTGACTGCAATTACTTTATTTAGTAAAGTATTCAGTCTCAAAGTATATATAAAAAAAAGATCCTTCTGTTATTTAGATTGAAAAAGTCTGCACAAAATATAGAACAAAATCCACCACAAAACTAAAGTGCAGGAGCAGTTCCAAAGGAAAAAAAAAAAACTATATAAAATTAAAGCTTAAGATCTGCATAAATGTAACCTACAACAAAAAATATGTTGCCTTTAAATGAGGTATAACTTCCAAAACTTGTGACAAATGCTGAAAACAAATGAAATGCTGCCTGAAAGGACAGCTGATCAGAACAGCCATCAGCCAATTTCCTGATCCTCAGGAAAGCAGCTGGTCTCGATATTTGAGCTGCACAGTTCCCAGTCACTGTTCGTGCACAGTCAGACTCAGGTAAGGCTCCGCGGTCAGACTTGACCATAAATCGGTGGTCAATGCAAACAGTGTTTCCCCTACCATTATACAAGCGGGGTGCCCTGCCGCATCAACAGGACCGAGCGCACAGTCTACCGAACCGAGCTGGGCGCACCCCCGCCCCACCCGCCTGCACTGACGTTACTCCAAGTTAGCAGCGCGCTAGCTAAAAAGCTAAAAGCAACATCTTCCCTCACTCTGAACCCTCACGCTGACCGGCTCAAAAACTGTCAGGACAAACAGCACTCAGCTCAGATGTGTCTGTGTCCATCACGCTCTAAAACAGTGCACAGCTCAGATGTCTCCAATTTAGGTCTGGGCCATATCATATCGTTCACGATAATACTGGTAAAAAAAATTGTCGGGGAAAATAAATGATAACATGATATGCTAATTTCATGACGTAAATATGTCATCCCACCACTCAGCGGATTACACTGCGATGAAGGCATGAATGGAGTCAAGGGGTGGGCGATATGGCTCAAATATAATATTGTGATATTTCAGAGCATTCTGACAATAACGATAAATTTTGTGATATTACAAAAAAAAAAAAAAAAAAACCCACCCAGAAATCAGTTATTCATTTGACAAAATTAACTTAACATGTTGCTTTGCAGTATTTAAAAAAAAAAAAAAACAAGGATTAATTTTACTGAAATTATTTAGTAAAGAATTCAGTCTCCAAGTATAAAATAAAAATGATCCTTCTGTTATTTAGATTGAAAAAAACTGCACAAAATATACATCAATAAATCCACCACAAAAACTAAAGTGCAGGTGCAGTTTCCCAAAGTAACTAAATAAAATGAAGCTTAAGATCTGCTGAGCATAAATGTAACATACGACAAAATATATGTTGCCTTTAAATGAGCTATAACTTCCAAAACTTGTAACAAGGTGATCAGCTGACCCTGAAGCTTGTGGTGTTTCAGCTTCCTCTGTTCCTGCAGGAACGATTCATTTCTCTGATGCTCTGTCTTTCATCACCTGACTCCATTCTTGGTCCATGGACTGTGGAACTCAAGAGACACAGCTGAGCTGCGCGTGTTTGTACCGGCAGTTTAGAACGAGGGGGGGGGGGGGGGCCCAGCCGAGCTGCGCCCGCACAGGCAGCTCAGAGTGGGGTGGGGGGAGAGAAAAAAGCAGAGCTGCATTTGTACTGGCAGTTTAGAGCTGGGTGGAGCGACACAGCTGAGCCACGCGTTGTTTGTTTTTAGCTTTTTAGCTAGCTAGTATTGCGCCCAGCTAATTAGCGTTACACCAGTACTGACAGGGGGGGTGGGGGGGGGGGGGGTGTAGTTCAGTTCAGGAGCTCCGCGCGCTTGCTTCTGTTAACGGGGCGGGGCGCCCCGCTTGTACAATGGTAGGGGAAACACTGAATACTTACGTCATGAAATTAGCATTAGGGATGCACCGATCCACTTTTTTAAACTTCCGATCCGATCCCGATACCTAAATCTGAATATCGGCCGATACCGATCCAGTTCCGATATCATGATCATCATTGATTTTATATGAGGCTGTAATAATCTCCTCTCAAGTACAATTTGTACAAATATATGCATGCATGTCCAAAAAGGCAACTTTAGGTAAGTTTTATTAATGTTGGATAAATTTTAAAGTTAGAATTAAATTCTGCTAACACAAAACATGTTTCTTTTTATTCCTAGCTTTTAAGTGACTGTTTAATTATTTTATATTTTTTTTAAATAAGGGGCAGATATAAGAATTTTTTTCTTCTTTCTGCACTCTTTTCATTCAATGTTTTCTTTTTGATGATTTTTTTTATATTTATTTTGTCTCTTTTAAATGAATGAATAAATTAATTACATTAAATAAAATGTTAAATGTCTTCAAACATCTGCTAAGTTCATGCATAAACTAAAAGACATGTTCCTGTTTTTGGTATTTTACATCACTTTATAATGTAGCTGTTTTTGTTTTTAATATAATTTTCAAATCATATGTTTTTTATGATTGTGCACTGTTGTACAGATAAATATCTCCTAGAGGGTAAACTATATCTTGGATGCAAGTATCAAACTGTGAAATCCTTCATTTTCTACAACTGATCATTGGTCATTAATCATGATGAAGTTTAGCAACTTCCCTGTAAACATTTGAGCTCCGGGGCTTCAGCGATGTCTTCTTCTTGTTCAGTCCGAAGCAGGCAGCCTGATTTGGGACAGCCGCGTGAGTCTGTCCCTCCTCAGAGACGGGCAGACTGAGCGGGGCAGATTGGACGCGGTTGGCCGGTTGGAGTTGCTTCTTTCGGGTTGAGCAAAGAGTACTGCCCCACTGAAGCCTCGGAGCTCGAATGTCCATCGTAAAACTAACTTTAATGCGGTTTAATGTGGCGCTATGGCTCTGCAGACATTACACGTTGCTGTCTTGTTTTGTGGTGTTTCTAGTGTAAAATACTTCCACACAGCGGACATGTTTAGATGAAAAGTTGGTTAGCTGTTAGCCACAGTGCTGCTAACTCAGCCCTCACGTTGTAGCTGGCTGCAAACTATGAAATTAATTTCCTGAATGTGAAGCGGGTCTTATTACTCTGGGTTCATGAGACACGCCGCCGTTCAGGAAATCCATTCCATAGTTTGTAGCCAACATGCATCATGGATCGGAAATATCGGCAGGTGGATCGGAAAAATCCGATACGTAAATTATACTGGTATCGGAGGCCGATACCGATACTGGATCGGCCTTATCCCTAGTTAGCATATCATGATAGAATTTATTTTCCCGGGCAAGCTTTTTTTACTGGTATTATTGTGAACGATATGATATGGCGCAGCCCTACTTGTGACTGACAACTTATTCATCCTGATGAGGCTTTAATAAAAATAAAACCAACTACCACTTCGGTGTTCACACCAACAAAACCATCAGCAGAACATTTCACAGCATTGAAACTGAACAATGACTACCGTAACTTTAATTGATCTGCATTCCAAATAGATGAAGCAACTCAGAACAAAACCCATCATATGAGGGGAGACGGGCTGGGGGAAGGTGTTCAGGAGAAGTGAACGTCAAAGATGTGTGTGGGTTACATCTTTCCATGCTGAGTCATGCAGAGAGGCCAAGTGCTAACACCTTTCATTGCATGCAACCTCTTCCTCTGTTACCCAATGCAACTACTGCATGAAAGACATAATGTGGCGTGTTCATCAGCCACCTGAGTGACCACACATTTGTGCACAAGTGCATCTTTTGATGACAAGATTAACTGAAGCTTTTGAAAGATCAGCTGCTGTGTCATTTCTTAACTACAAAATAGGAGAAGCATCAAAAAGGTGACATCAGCTAGTCCACTTTATCCTGATCCAAGACCAATAAAAAGGAAAAACAAATAACAGCTCTTTTTATTGGAAATAAAAACAACCACTTCGCTGCTCAAATTAAAAGCTAAATGAAATGCTATGATTCTTGACACGTACAAACTAAAACCTGGGAGTCCATCATAATGCATTACAAATTTAAATCAGTGTTTCACTTACAGGCTGAAATAACTGGGATTTTTGGTAACCTTAAGTAAGCCACCCAGAATTATACAAGACGGTTCTTACCATACATCTCCATCCATTGGTGGGAAGAGAGTCCATAGCAGGTTGCAGACAGAAGGTATGGTAACCTTTGTCACACATGTCACACACCAGCATTTTAGTGTCTTCTCCTGGGTTCCTAAAAAAATATAAAGTTGTGAAGGATGTTAATGACTGGTACTAAACAAAACCAACTTAAAAGGAATTTATATTAATAAAATATGGAAATTATGGTCACCGTTTTTTTCTCTCCCAGTGATTAGACCTCTAATTCCCCATTGGACAATCAATTTGATGAAATCCTACCATTTATTTAATAGTTAAATTTTTTTTGGATCGAAGAGTACTGCATACAGCATATTATACAAACTATTATACAGCAATTTGTAGCTACGGCCTTGGCAAGAAAATACATTGTATAAAATTTGACCTTGATTTGTGACCTTCACCTTAGAGCTGAGGTGATGAACAGTGTGTGTGATACTTCATCTAGTGGTGATGCATATGCGTATGAAGTTTTGTTAAATAATCCTGATGGGATCAGAAGTTATGGGCAGGTCAAGAGAAAGTTTATGGACTTACATATGATGTACGGAGACTGTGCCATAATACGTCTGGCCTCTGACTGACATATTAACTAATTAAATAATTAAATGTGAACTTGTTACTAATCTAAACGGTGGATGTGGTTTTAAAAAGAAGAAGAAAAAAAACCTACCAGTGTACAGATAGTTAGGTTTGCCATGTTATTTTCACACCATATCAGAGCAGAGGGCTCTGAAAAAGGCTCATGTTCATAAAAAAAAAAAAAATTCTACCACAAAGCCTGCCTTTAATTTCCTGAATATTATTTTTTTATTGACAATCAGTTTGTTAAAATTGTAGCCTGAAAAAAGTACAAACAAGAGACTAACTACTCATGCTCTCTGAGATGGATTTGTAATGTAAAACAAGATTAAACTTATTATTAAAAATAAAAAAGACCACTTGTATAAAAGAACAAGATGAATATGACGCAAGACAACTACATTAAGAAAGATCCCATGAACAGTCAATAAAATAATGGGTCTAGTGAAAAATAAGCTAGTAATTTTAACGCTGGTCTTGATTACTGATGCAAACTTATATGATAAACTCTGCCTCCTCTTGAAAAAAAAATCATATGCAGTAGCAACAGGGTTTGCATGCAAATAAGAACACATTGGCAAACCAAGCTTGTTTGTCTCAGGTGAGCCAGAGTAGCTATGCTTTTTAAAGAAAGGTCAGAGGTTACAAGAACTGAGCTTCAGGGTACAACTTCCAGTTAGCTTTCCACAAAGCACAGAGGTAAACAAACCATCAGTGAGCACGATGCCTGGAAGTGATGCAGAAATTAAAAAGGATGAAAAGTGGGAGACCATGATATGTGAGGGGGAATTTTATTTTTTTTATGGTGCTTTGTTTAGGTGGGTGGTTAAAGTGACTCACTTGCATGTCTGGCAGACTTTGCACTCAGGGCACTGCCAACCTGCCCTTCTTAGAGGGGTCACAGCCATGTCCAGGCAAATCCCATGGTAATGCAACCCACAACTGGTGCAGAAGAGCTGGTCTAGTAAGTCCCCTGGGCTATCGCATAACACGCAGTTTACATCATCTACAACTACGGGCAGCAAAAGACCACAGGACAGGTAAGTCAGGAAATGCCATCTCTATCGAGTAAAAGATGTTACTGTTGTAAATTTGGCTCAACTTACATTTGTGAAGTGCCAATTCAATATGTTCTGGGCAGAGGAGTAAGAGAGTCCTAATATCCTGAAAGGTACCGGCTGCCCCTGCACAGGGGTAATGGTAGAGTTGAGCACATCCTTCAGCACAGCACTTAATGGATGCTCCAAGGCGCTTACAGTATGCACAGTGCTGTGAACAGGAAGAAAAAAATGCCACAAGTCAAAAATTGTCAACGTCTGCACCAAAATTTCATCAACACCAAAATAAAATCTCTTAATTCAATTCAAAAATACTTTATTAATTCCAAAGGGAAATTATAAATCAAGTTCACAGACGACTACTTTTTTAATGAAACCTCCTTACATGTTCATGTCTGTGTAAAAAATATAATTTAGGAATTTTGGAGCTTAAAAAAGGTATGTTTTGACCTAAATTTGAGTCCCTTGCTCATTGCACCAGCACAATCTCCTCTGAAGACTACATTTTTTTTTCAGGTTTATGAGTGTGGGCTATTAGCCATGGCAAAGATCAAGTGGCAGAAATGCTATTTGGCTGCATGACTGATGGGCTGCAAACACAATCATAGAACCATGAGCAGCACCACTGCTACCAAGAGATCTGCGCTGTTGAGTAGCATGACCTTTTCCATTTCACAGCCAAGAAATCCACGCTGCCTTGTCGACCTTTACCAGTCAGTCTGATCCATCAGCTTTTCTGTGCCTCGGTGAAGCGGTACCTCCCTGCTGCCTTAGCACATTAAGGTGGTGTTAACACCCATTAGTCTACAGACTTTTTTTTTTCTCGACTCACCTTTGTGCTCCCTGAGTCAATGGCTCTGTCCACATTAAGCAGAGATTGTCCCTCGCCCTCACAAACACCATCAGACCACAAGGCACAACTCTGATGTGCCCAACATTGCCCTGAAATTTCAAGTTATAAATAACAAATGTGTGATTAGCAAAAAATAAAAAAAAACTCCTCTGAAACAGATCCAGTGATAACAAGTAAGGCACTACAAATTGAGAATCCAAATTTAAAACAAATCAATGCTTGGATAAAAATAATAATAAACAATCTTACCTGACTCGAAGAGAGACTGGACTTTAAGATCTTGTGGAAGGCCGACATGAGAAAGCTCATCCCAAAATCGACTGGCAGGATCTGGTTCTTCATGGCAGGTTTCAGACCCACTGGTGAAAAGGAAAAAAAATTAAGAAACGACAGCCAGTGCAGGTAAGAAGTGAGGACCATAGATTTAAAGTGGGAGAAAAATGTTAAAGAGCAAATAAAGGCTGCGGGGGAGGGGTGGGAGGAAATGTGCCATCTTGTATGGCACATGTACAAGAGGCTAGCTGTTCCGTCTCATGAAAGCTGTTGAAATGGATGAGCTTCTCTAAGTGATGCCACACAGAAAATGAGGAGTGGGAACATTAGCATATAAAAAGACCCGCGTTTCAATAAACACACTAAAATCAAGACACAAATAAAAAAAACGCACGATAGCACACTCATGACATACAGCTGATTATTTACAGAATATGATTAATCTAATTATGTAACAATATTCATAATCTTTCTCACAATTATGTTTGTGCATCATTTCAATTACAACAAAAACCCATAAACTACCTACTCTATGGGCTGCTGCCAAATCAGTATGATTTGGACTACACACGACAAAAAAAAAAAAAACAGTAAGATGCAGCACATGAAAACAGAATGTTCTTCTACGCCACTAATAAGCTACGTTCATAAGAAAAGCCTTATTACTGTGAGCTTATTAATAACGTTTAGGGTTTAAAGATTGTTTTGATTTCTTGAAGAACAAACCTTTCATGACACCAGTGTTCTCAATAAAACCTCCTGTACTTACTTCTTTTCCTTCTGTCCTGAGGTGCCTTCTCCAGGCTGAGCGGTTTTGTCACCATCGCCTGCCAAGCCTCCTTCACCATTATGGCTGAAGAGTGTTTCATGCTGAGGCGTAACGCTGAATATTTGCAGATCCCCCTGACCCAGAAGGCTACGACCACCGCAGTAACAGAAGGCACAGAGACGCTCACTGAAAGCAAGAGAATGGATAGTAAGGGATGTTTAATTATACATCTCTATTGTGACTAAAAACAGTGAAATGCATGTCATAATGAATTAAGGCCTCCTGCTTCTGGGGATGGGCCTGTGAGTGGCATCTAAGAGAGGCTGGCACACAGAAAACCTAAAACTTTTTGTAAATTATTGATATATGTTGTGTGAAAGTGGAAGAAAATGGATTTAATAATTGTATATGTTCTATTATGATATTTAACTAAACTTTTTCAGCAATTTTCTTCAAAATAATAAACATGAGGAAACAGGGTAAACGGAGTAAAAGATGTGCCTTTTAAAAATCCAGGAATATACTGATCTGGCCCCTACTGATGACATCAACAACTCAACCAGAAGATTGATGACTGACTTTTTACAATGTGGCACCTCGGAGGAGCATGCTGCATCTACCAGCTAATGACTTTCATGTATGTTCAGACGTTGAGAGTCTGTAACATGCATATCCTACAAGTACAAAAAGTGGTAGAAAACATTTTTTACATTTAAGAATTTGGTATAATACACAGTTTTACACATTTTTTTCTCATAACTGGCATATATTCTTTTGAACTTGGAGCAGCGAAAGTGAAACAGGAAGTGACATAAAAGGGGAACTCATTAAAATAGGGAACTCCCTGGTTTTGACTGTTCTTTGTCTCTGATAGTGACTCAAAATAATCTAAAGAAACATCAGATACTTAACTACTCTCTGTGTTGTTAGCCATTGTAGCAATGCTCTGTTTTTACAGGCATTAATCGCTTCCTTTTCCTCTGAATGAGAATATCTCTACAACTGTTCATCTCAGTCAGCAGCATAATTTTTTGGGGTTTTGCAATGCATTGTATGTTTTGTATGTATGTTTTATTTATTCATTTCATTTCATTCAAACAACAAATATAATACAATTTAAAGAAAAGAAAAGAAAAAAGATATACAATCACAGAAATAAAATGAAAGGCAGCAGAAGAAGAAGGAGTTCTTATAATATCTGCCCCTTGTCCCCAAAATATATTCCAAACAAAATTACTATACAAAAGCAAGATTGTTAATACTATCTTTCCAAAAATGAATTCATATTTATTACAAAAATTGGATGTCACAGGCACTTTAACGTAAAAACTACCATTACACGATGCATTACTGAATATTGCACACCGCACTGTTCATAAAAAAAAAAAAAAGAAACGTGTCAGGGAAAGTTTAGTGTTTCTGACCTGCTTTTGATTTCTCTACTTGACGGAACAGATGCTGAACTCTCTGCTGGAGGGCTCTGAGCCAGAGGGGACGAGGACTTGTCCTCCTCTGGCACCTCACTGGTCACCACTTCCACAGTCTCCACCTGATGGATGTGCATTTCTGCAACAACAAAAAACAAAAGACTAGTCAGTTAAGAAGCAAATGAACATGACCCCCCCCCCCCCCCCACACACACACCCCAAGGAATAGGGGGGCACAGCAGTTTATTTAGGTTGGTGAACCAATATTAGATATTCTCTTTTTTATGGCTGGACAATCAATACATGACTCCTGACAGCCATGAGCCATCATTTGGCTGCAGGCTGAACAGATCCTTAAGATCCACAACACACGTGGGAATCAATTTGTTGAATTAAACCCACCGGGAACATCAATTCCTGCACAGCATGACAAGAACTGAGTAATGAAAAATAATCTGTCACAATGTGAAAAGTAGTAAGTCTTATTACTGGTGAAAACAGTCAATTTTGACACGATGGTGCCCGCTTTTAAATTAAATCATAAAAAGTTTCAATTTACAATGCTAATCGTATGAACCATTCCCCAGTAGTGTGAGAATTTAACACATGCTGAATTTTATTAAGGTTTTCTTGAGGTGTAATAAGCTCAGTTTTTTTACATTTCTGCCTCAACCTGTGAAATAACACAGGAATAATACAAGCTCATTCCCTTCACAGAAACATATTGCACCTGTGGCAGACACCTTCCACTCAAATTATAAGACAACGGCAAAGGAAATCACATCTCATTGTTTGTAAGAGGAATATCTTGCACTAAAGACAAACATGCATAAAATGTTTCTTCTTGTAAAATAGATAGAAAATGTAAGCAACACAACAAAGATGTCAAACAATGAGAGTTTTGAAAGATACAATAAAATGTGTATGACCTCAGCTGTCCAGATGTCACTTAAAACAGTACAAGTTAAAAAATGTATTTCCCATCTAAAGCCTAAAGCCAGATGGAGTGACAAAGAGAACCAAAGGCCATCATTGATTCATCCACATAAAAAATTGAAAAAAGTAAAATACAATAAGAGAAAAGCAAACTACTAGCACTTATGAACCCCAATTTCTAAGGCCCAGCAACAGGGATGCACTGACATGTACGAGAATGGGAGTCGTGGTCACATGATCTGATGTACACACATAAAAAGGCACATAAATGGGTCTGGTGAGACTGATGGGATTTTAAAAAGCTTTTAGAGGGCATTAGCCTTGAGCTCTTTCCCACTGCACCTCAATGCCAATCTCAGGGTAAAAGGAGAGATGGAAGTAGTGAGGAGGAGAAGAAGAATAAAAAAACAAAAACAAATACAGCCTCACACTTCAATTTAAACCCTTTCAATTATAGTCCTAAAGATGAAGCATGGGGTGCTAAGAAAAAGCTCTCATTCACCAATCTCCAGTGGAGAGGACTCCGCCACAGGTATTGAAACACTTATTGCATGAGGCTACCTGGATGCACAAGCTCACATCTGTATCATTCTCCATAAAACCACAGTGTATCAAGGAGTCTGCAAAGGCTTACCTGTGTCCTGTGGGTCCATGGACTCTGCTATCTCAGTACCATCCATACTGTCCTCCTCATCAGCAGCAACCCTCCCTCTGGTGCGACCCCTAGAGTAAGGAAACAGGCAAAGTGAAAAAAGATCACATAGGAATTTTTAGACTGGACAGATTTTGACAGAAACATGAGCAGATTTTTGGAGATGAGAGTCATGGTGTAGCCATAAATTAGTTAAATAAAATTGCAGCTGCCATCGTTTATTATTAGAGGCACTTGAGCCCTGGGCAAGTCAGAAGTCTGGTAGTGATACGGGGTGTGAAACAGTCGGGTATTAGAGTCATCAGTATCAGAAAAATAAATAAATTATACAAATAGGGACTAGAAAGTTAGGAACTGACTCAAAGGACTGACAGTGAAACTCTCAAAAGTATCAGAAAGCAGGTTAAAACACCAAACTTCACAGCTAATGCAAACCACTACACACTTTTCAAAGTAAGATTGGACATGACACACAATGGCTGATTGTTGGATGAGCCTCACGATCAGTACAGATGTTTTATTTAAAATACATTATTTAAAATGATTGAGCACCTGTGTGCAGTCCACCACTGTGGGAGAAGTTTCTTCCTGCATCTGATCAGCTGATCTCTGCTCTGCATGGAGATCAGCTGATCTTCGTGCAAAGCAGAAAAGTGGGCGTGGCTGAGAGTGCAGCCAGAGGCAGCGAGTTGAAATCATGACATGCTGTGCTCTTTTAGAGCGTTTAGAGCTTAGAAACATTGTTTAGAATATTGCAAGAGTGTGGGAAGGGTTTAAAACGCCTTATATATATATCTATATATACATACACACTAAAAAAAAAACTACTACTTACTACTTGTACTACTATTCCTACTTCGCGGTTTTTCACGCATCGCAGGGCTTCAGGGTACGGATCCACTGCGATAAACGAGGGACTACTGTAAAACAACCTTGACTACATTTTGAACCATTTTTCAGGTTTTCCACTTGTGGAAAAGCCTACTGACAAATTCTTCTATTTGTACAGTATAGAATGATCTTTCATTATCAAGATTCTCCAATGGGAACTGAATTAACCTACTTTTGGAAGCAGCATGTTGACAGGATAATTATCATGGATGCAAATTAAATAGCAACATCAACTGTTAGCATGCTAAATAGGGGGAGCAAAAACAGCCCAAATGAGAGCACCATGTCTCAGGGGTACTCAGGAGGATACACAAGGTTGGAAGTGAGGGAGGAGATTGGGGGCGGTGGGGTAATTTTCAGTGCCACTAGAGAGAAAAATCACAAATGGCTGTGTGCCAAATCAACTCCTCCCTCTAAATGACTTCCATGGGAAGCAAGCCTAATACAAGAATGACGGAAGAATCCTTTAGCAAATTTTGGCTGAAAACATAATTACCTAAAAGTCTTGAGTCATACACTGTACTGTACATGAAAATGCTTACGTTGAGACGAACAACCAGAACTAAAATGGACTTTCAAAATGAGGGCTTTACAGTTGCTTTGTTGTAATTTTGGATCATGATGGGTTTATGCAAGCCCAAATTTGAAACAACACAATTGCACAAAATAATTAAAACAACTACTCCAATACCTATTCTAAGGTATTTATGCCTTTTTTTTAATTGATCTGTCTTGCTGTTACTGAGTACAATTGATTTTTGATCTCCGTTTTACATCGACCACGCCAAAGTGTAGCCACCATATAGGGTTGTTGCAGGACTGTGCCAGCAAGACTGCTGTGTGAAAATATTTTCTAATGGAAAAAAGAGCAGCCAGAAATCTGATCATATCACAGTCACAGTGACAGAAATTGCTTTAATAAGACTAAACTGACTAAGACACCTAAAGTTGAACTATTTGGTAAAAAAAAAACAACAAAAAAAACACAACTGCTGGCTTGCTCCACAAGGCCTGCCATTTTGATCCAAGGGCAGCAGGAGGGTTAATTCATGAGTGTGGGCTGAGGCTCAGTCAAAACACAGTGTTGAATTTGGTTTTCAATTTGAAGTAGAAGGGTGATATTTTTTCCTGCTTAACTAACAAACGAGAAGCCATTAATCAAAAGCCAATTTCAGCATTGTCACCAATATGGTGGCTCTGCACAGGCACTCCTCCTCTATCGCAGCATCACAGCACAATACCTCACACAGCGGCAGCGATTTTAACCAGGTTCTTGTGATTCAGGTGTGTGGCTTGCTTTCGTGTGCTTGGAGCTGAATGTGGGCCGATATGTGGGTTAAAACAAACCACCAAACAAACACTGGGACAATCTGAACAACTCTGAATGTCTGTTAATCTTTGATTCAGCAGCATTGTCCAAAGTATTTACTTGCAAATCATGGTAAGTGAAAACCAATAAACGCCAGCAGACTGTCTGACACAGATACACATCTGAACAAAAACACTTACATACGATATGAATTTAGCTGCTTTTGTCTTTAACTATCCATGTTTGAGTTTAGTTTTTTTACATACAAATTAACACGTTTAGCTTAAGAATTTTATTTTATTTGCTAATGTAACATTCAAAGCACAAAGCTTTTTCCCCATGTTCTTCTACTTCAACTGTATTTTACAAAAATCTGTATATGGTCACACTGTGATTTGCACAGACCTTGACTAGTGTTGCTTAACCATATATCCCATTTAATGTAATAACTATACAATAATCGAGCATGAAGGTAACTTATCATATAATCCAAAGAGAAAGGTTAAAGCTGTATGAGCACACCAAAAACAACCTTAAACTGAAAAAGAAAAAAGTTACAAGCAGGTTTTGTTACTTTCTTCTTTTCTTTCAAGCAGATTAAAGATATAGATTAGGGTTAACTATGTGGCTGATACGAAATTAAAGTGTTTAAAGAAGAAAGAAGTCAATACATTAATTACCAAACTGCTGGAATTAAACTTTAACCAAATAGGACTGCTGTTTCTTTGGGGGCAAACAGATGTTATCTTCCAGCTGATTGCATTAATAATGCTGTATCATACTTTACAACCTTGTCTTGATTATATTTGAAAGAAGGAATTTCAATTTAAGTGAGGGAAGCGTGAAAACAAGTATTCGGTAAAAGAAAAATATATTTAAAACTGATAAATAAATAAAAGTTGGCAAATTTTCCACAGGGTAAACGACATATCCAAGTGTGAATTTCAGTTATGCGATGAGGAAATGGCCCAGTTTGTTATTTTTCACAGTTAAGTTAACAACTACTCCAAAGAGGGCCCATTTAATGGTACATTTAAGCCATCTAAAAAAAAAAAAAAAACTTAAGTTTTCCAAGTAAATGAGATGGTGGAGTTTTACACCACTTCACTTTGCATCAGATAGTAACTCTGATTATGTGTGATGCTTCCAAATATTTTTGGACTTAAGACACTCTACATTTTAGCCAATTTAAGCTGTATGAGAAATCTTCATATAATAAACACTACATAGGGCATGTGCACAACAATGTAAGCTTCTTACATAACCTCCTACAACACATCCATCTGTAATTACATACAATCATGCTTAAAGCATCAAATTTCAGTATTCAACCGGGCATTTTCTTCTACTAACAAACACCCAGGAATAGTGTTCAACCCTAGACTGTGCACAACTTACCCCCTCCTCACAGTCCCACTACAGGGGGAAGGAGAGAGAGAAAAAGAGAAGGTGAAAATAATGCTGTGGGAAGTAGTCCCAGCTAGCAGAGAGCTGCCTACAAAACCTGGAAAGAATCACGCTGATCTGAAACGGACTACCTAGCAGATGAAGCTCGAGCAAATCAAATATTTTGCAACATCTAGGTCTTTGACAACATCTGACACATCCTCCTTTTTCTTATGCTCTACTGCAAGATCAATGCTGGTACACACGGAGAATTTGCGATGGGCCTTAATAAAGATTGCTTCCATAAGTATAATTCACAGATGTGAAGTTGTCCAAAACGAAGCTAAAAAAAACCTTGTTTCACAACACATCTGTTAAAGTTAAAAGAGTTTAATTGCCTCTGCAGTTGGATTTAAGACAAAGCATCAATCCCTTTAGAGGCCTAACGCTTTAATAAATTAGAACAGTAAAGGAAAACGATTACGCAAAAAGCCCACCAAGCTCTGGAGAACAACTTAGTGGATGGTGCTTTTTTAACTAAATATGAATGCCCTATTCAGCTCTAGAGACGTTTTATATTTACTTCAACCAACTCTGTTATGGAGAAATTAATTGTGGTGTCTATACTGAGCTGAATGATCTTCAGTGTTTCTCTTGCCAGGACAAAACAGCAGCCATGACCATTAAAACACAAAAAAACGAACAGAGAACATATCTGTTAATTGGCTATCCATGTTTAGTTGATCAAAATATAGCAAATTAACCAAAGTAACCCATTGCTTTAGGCATTTATGCAATGGATTACAAGATTCATTTAGAACAACACATTAAGATTGATTAGGAGAGAAAAACAAGGGAGAGAGATATGAGTCTGGCTGGAATTGTTTTTATTGAGCAGCTATACAAATGTAGAGTTATGACTGAGTGGAAGGACAACTTGATTGCCTCAAGAGAAACTGGAATGACTGGAAATCAAGGAGCAAGGAAAAAAAAATACAGCAGTTCAAACCACAAGTGAAACCAATTTATTTAATAATCATCCCCAGCATGTGAAGAACAGAATCCTAATTAACTTTTCAAATACTTTGTAGTTGGTCTGCCATTTAAATTTACAATACAAACATGCACAGACTAGGAGAAAAAATAAAGCCAAGTAAAACCATCGCTTTAGGGATGCATTGATACCAGTATTGGGTATCAAGTCCAATACTGTGCGTGCGCTTATACTAGGAATGTGTGATATGGCATAAAATTTATATCACGATATGTATTGTGAAGGGTGGCGATAACGATTTATATCACAATAAGTTTTTGGTATAAAACTTGCAATAGGAATGGAAAAAAAGCATAGGGTGTCCTTTTGCCATAATTTATTATGAGTTAAAAAAAAATCCACTACTAGGTTCAGATAGTTTTTAAATAATAAACAAATCAAGTATTAGGGTTCTTTCCTGTAGTGCAAAACAGTGCAAAATAATTATGTAGTTTTAGCCATATGTTTTAAACAAAAAAATATGTTGTTAACTCTTAACAGTTTCCAGTCTTCTCACTTGACAAATGAACAGCAACAGAGCAGCATTTCACACTGAAAACACTTCACCCTCCAAACCTCTAGTGGGCGCCTCCTTCCACTTTAAGGAGAGCTGACACAAAATGAGTCTGTGGCTTTGACCAGAGGGTCTCACAGTAAAATCACACAACACAGCATTCTTTTCAGATCAGAGAGCAGGTTTCTCTAAAGCTGACCAACGCTTACTTTAACTTTAGACAGAAAAACAAACAAAAAACTTTCGACAGAACACAGGGTTTTGCGCATGCGTCCGAATACGGCAAGCTGGCCGTAGTTAGCTTGTAGCTTCGCTACTTAGCTCTCGAAGAAAAGACTTGAACACCACTTACGCACAGTTTTCAACTTAAAAAAAGTAACAATTAAACTGACAACTCTGATTTTACATCAGACACAGCATTACTGCGGTTAGCCGGTAGAAGACAGATCTCTATTGTAGGCTAAATTTCTATCGTTTCTACCGTGTACCGTATATATCGTGCATTCCTAGCTTATAAAAAAAGTATTTCGATATCACAATACCAGATACAGTCTCTCACTGAACAGAAGAGGCACTGGGAATATACAGATCTAAGAATGAGCTTCCTGATAATCTCAGTGCACTTTAGTGGACTCTGAGGGGGGTTTCCTCAAAGTACGGTAATATATAAAAATAAGTAAATAAATAAGTATTAAGAAGTATTTAAACTTGTGTTTTTGGACTCTACACTATGTCAGTTTATTCAAGTGGATGACTTTGTGCCACATTTTAAAAGCATTTGTTTTAAGACATTGATGTTTTAAGTTTTTCAGACTCCTTAAATGACTGTGCCATCCTGCAAAAGGAGGTAAGAAATGTCCACTGTCTTATTCCCCATATCTTAGTCCCTTCACTGAAAAAGCTGGGACCTGACCACCAAATTTGAAAAAAGTTTTAGGCAATTTTTATATTGTAATTTGTTTATTAGCTGCACTACTAATAGTGAAAATGACGAAACTAGTTGTAAACATGCAAAACAATTTCTTTAAGTAATGAAAAAAAACGTACTTCTTTCTGTTTTTAGATGTCGATAAGGGTGGTGCCTGGGGCAGAATGGCAGCAGCATCTTTGCGTGGCCTGCCACGGGGTCGCTTGTCTGCAAGGGCAGGACTTTCTGTGGATGTAGCCCCTGCACAGCTGGATGGCGGCGAGGGTCCCTGGTCAGAGGGCTCCACAGTCTTATCCTCTGATGACATTCTGAGAACCAAAAAGACAAGATGATACAAGCTTTATAAGGCAAATATAAAGCTTTATAAAGTACAAATGGAGAACAGGTGATTTTTATCCCATTTAATTTTATTTTAAATAGGTTCTCAAATGACAGGTAGAGAAAAAAAGTGTCACAAATGGAAAAACTGGTTGGGCAAAACAGAGACATCAGATTGTTGCTGGAGACATCAGTGTGTGTGAATTACATGACACCTTGACTCTAGGCAAAACTGAAACAGAAAAAAACGTTGGGGGACATGAAATTTAGCACACACAGAAATGGTTACCCAATATCTTAAACAAGCGGTTTTCGTTTGCTTCATAATTGCACACATGCAGCAGTAATGCAGTAACACTTCTCTCCTCTGTCATTTTGGGGCTATTTAGACCAAATACTAAAATGTGCAAAGGTGATACGATCATAAGAGGCCAGAAATCAGTGCAGGTGTGTGAAAATACTCAGGACAGTCACAAGAACGTAAATAACAGCAAAGAACTTCTAATTAAATACATTTACCGGTAATCAACTTTTCAACAAATGTGAGCACATTTATAAATCAAGTGTTGGGTGGATGCTGCTTTAAAGCATTTTGGTGTACCCCAACAAAAAATCCTAGAAATGCATGATATTATCTGCATGGTATCGAGTAGACTGTGTTTTGGTTTGTTAAGAGATCAAAATCAGCTAAATATGAAATCAGGACAGATATTTAAAACTAATCAATCAGTGCTTCTACAGTTGAAAGATAATTTAAAGTGGTTTTTTTTTTTTTATTCTTTATTGACAAAAATGATTCAGAAGAGGGAAACACTAAAGACAGCTGTCAATGTTCCCAGTCGTGAACATCACAGCAGATCCAACTGATGGTCACACCGTGCTATGCTCAGAATAAAACACAAATATCTCTGGATTGGTACAATTAAAAAGACTGAATATGAATGACTCATATCGTCCTTTGAACAAATTAGACCAGAGTGATTGTTTAGCCATAGTGCACAATGGCATGATTGGCAATAAACAAATGCAGCCCGTCAGCTCCTCACAACGGTCGAGCACAGACTAGTGACAAGTGATGATTTGGGCATGTTTTGCAGCCACAACACCTGAGACCTTTGCAGTCACCAAGTCTAACATGTACTCCACTGTGTATCAAAGTACTGAGCCAGATGAAAGGCCATCCGTCCCTGTCCGACAGCTATAGTTTTGATGAAAATGGGTCTCACACATCAGACCTGTGATCCAAAACACACACCAGCAAATCACCAACCAAATATCAGTAGCTGAAAAAAAGAAATGGGTGTTTCAATAATCAAGTCAAAGTCCAAACGTCAACCTGATTGAAATACTGCAGTGAGACCATAGGAGAGTTGTGAATTTAAAAAACTCAGCAAGATGATAAAACAAACCGATAAGGCCACACCAACTACAATACTTCAAGGTATAACTGTAAAAGGTAGCTATAACCTGAGGCGTTGAGTATGTCTGTTTTTTTAATAACACTACTTCTGCATTTTGGTTTAGTTTCTCTTACCACCAAATTTGAAAAACGTTTGAGGCAACTCTTATATTGTCATTTGTAAAGTGAAATGTAAAGTGAAATGAAATGTAAAGCGCTATAGGTCATGAGTTGAGGTTCAGCTGGTTTGTAAGTACTGGTATCTAAATTTAAAACCTGTCAAACCTAGCAACTCAAAGGTCGTAAATAATTTTCAACATGGCCATATTTATGTGTATGTGCATATTGTAATATACATCACATCTACAAAATCACCTAATGTGATGCCCAGAGTTACAGTGGGGAGAACAAGTATTTGATACACTGTTGATTTTTCAGGTTTTCCCACTTGCAAAGCTTGTAGATGACTGTAATTTTTATCATAGGTTCTCTTCAACTGTGAGTGATGGAATCTAAAACAAAAATCCAGAAAAATACAATGTATGATTTTTAAATAATTAATTTCCATTTTATTGTGTGAAATAAGTATTTGATACACCAGAAAAATGAAACTTAATATTTGGTACAGAAACCTTTGTTTGCAATTACAGAGATCAGACGTTTCCTGTAGTTCTTGACCAGGTTTGCACACACTGCAGCAGGGATTTTGGCCCACTCCTCCATACAGATCTCCTCCAGAGCCTTCAGGTTTCGGGGCTGTCGCTGGGCCACACGAACTTTAAGTTCTCTCCAAAGATTTTCTATGGGATTCAGGTCTGGAGACTGGCTAGGCCACTCCAGGACCTTAAGATGTTTCCTACGGAGCCACTCTTTAGTTGCCCTGGCTGTGTGTTTTGGGTCGTTATCATGCTGGAAGACCCAGCCACAACCCATCTTCAGTGCTCTTACTGAGGGAAGGAGGTTGTTGGCCAAAATCTCACGATACATGGCCCCATCCATCCTTCCCACAATATGGTGCAGTCGTCCTGTCCCCTTTGCAGAAAAGCATCCCCAAAGAATGATGGTTCCTCCGCCATGCTTCACGGTTGGGATGGTGTTCTTGGGGTTGTACTCATCATTCTTCTTCCTCCAAACATGACGAGTGGAGTTTAAACCAAAAAGTTCTATTTTTGTCTCATCAGACCACATGACCTTCTCCCATTCCTCCTCTGGATCATTCAGATGGTCATTTGCAAACTTCAGACGGGCTTTGACATGAGTTGGCTTGAGGAAGGGCACCTTGCGTGCACAGCAGGATTTTAATCCTTGACGGCGTAGAGTGTAACTGATTGTTTTCTTTGAGACTGTGGTCCCAGCTCTATTCAGGTCATTGACCAGGTCCTGCCGTGTAGTTCTGGGCTCATTCCTCACCTTCCTCAAGATCAATGATGCTCCACGAGGTGAGATCTTGCATGGCGCCCCAGACCGAGGGAGATTTTCCGTTATTTTGTATTTCTTCCATTTTCTAATAATTGCACCAACTGTTGTTGCATTCTCACCAAGCTGCTTGCCTATTGTCCTGTAGCCCATCCCAGCCTTGTGCAGGTCAACAATTGTATCCCTGATGTCCTTACACAGCTCTCTGGTCTTGGGCATTGTGGAGATGCTGGAGTCTGATTGACTGAGTGTGTGGACAGGTGTCTTTTATACAGGTCACGAGTCCAAACAGGTGCAGTTAATACAGGTAATGGGTGGAGAACAGGAGGGCTTCTTAAAGAAGAACTAACATGTCTGTGAGAGCCAAAATTCTTACTGGTTGATAGATGATCAAATACTTATTTCACACAATAAAATGGAAATTAATTATTTAAAAATCATACATTGTATTTTTCTGGATTTTTGTTTTAGATTCCATCACTCACAGTTGATGTAATGTAATTTCAGAAGAAAAAAAAAAAAGGACAACTACAGAAACCTTAAAAGTCGTCAATGGCTACGTTCACACTGCAGGACTCAGTGGTGATTTTAGCCTCTTTTTGGGGGTGCTCAAGCACCCCTAAATTTTAAATCAACACCACTGAAAAATAAAGAAACCATCATAATCTAACAATATTTTACTACAGAGGCTTGAATATGATATTGGGATTACAGGAACTGCTCTAAAATGGTTTAAATCATATCTATCTGATAGATTCCAGTTTGTAAATGTAAATAAATCTTACTCATACACCAAAGTTAGTCATGGAGTTCCTCAGGGCTCAGTGCTTGGGCCAATACTCTTTACTTTATATATGCTTCCATTAGGTAAAGTTATTAAACAGCATGAGATACATTTCCATTGTTATGCTGATGACACACAATTATATTTGTCCATTAAACCCAATGAATCCAATCAGCTACTTAGAGTACAAGCATGTCTTAAAGACATAAAAACCTGGATGACCCTTAATTTTCTCCTGTTGAACACAGACAAGACTGAGGTTTTAGTTTTTGGACGTGAGCATCTTAGGAATGAATTTTTCAGTCTTTCTCCCTCCTTAGACGGCATTAATCTGTCCTCCAGCTCTAATGTTAAAAATCATGGTGTTTTTTTTTGATCAGGACATGTCTTTTATCCCCCACGTTACTAGAACTGCCTTCTTCCACCTGCGTAATATTGCTAAAATTAGAAACATCTTATCCAAAAATGATGCAGAAAAACTGGTCCATGCATTTGTCACGTCTAGACTGGACTATTGCAATGGTTTATTATCTGGGTGTCCAAATACATCTTTAAAACGTCTTCAGTTGATCCAAAATGCTGCTGCCAGAGTCTTAATCGGAGTTAGTAGGAGAGATCATACCTCTCCAGTTTTAGCTTCTCTCCATTGGCTCCCTGTCAAGTCCAGAATAGAATTCAAAATCTTACTTCTAACTTACAAAGCTCTTAACAACCTAGCTCCATCTTATATTACAGATCTTATTGTTCCATATTTTCCTAACAGAGCACCTCGCTCTCAGACTGCCGGTTTACTTGTGGTTCCTAGAATTTACAAAAACAGAATGGGAGGCAGATCTTTCAGTTATCAGGCTCCTCTCTTGAGGAACCAACTTCCAATCTCTGTCCGTGAGGCTGACACATTATCCAGTCTTTCCTTTTTACTAAATCCTATAGTTATTGTCGGCTTGGGTTTCCTGAGCTGTCCCATAGTTATGCTGCTATAGGCTTAGACTGCTGGAGGACAAACTGACCACAATTTTCACTTTACTCTGTCTTTACTTACTCTGCTCAACCTGTTTTGTATTTGTAATTATTTTTTCTATCCTTAACGTGTTTTTTTTTTGTCTTTCAGATACACCTGGACCTACCATTCTATGTTCGTCTGTCACTCCTTCCTGTCCTCTCAACCAGCCGGTCAAAGCAGATGGCCGCTTGTCCTGAGCCTGGTTCTGCTGGAGGTTTCTTCCTTACAGAAGCTCCACCCCCTTTTTCTCCAACAATATTGTCGGGGTTTTGCATTTCGAACGCTTTGCAGTCAGAGAGATTTAGTGAAAAGTCAAGAGAAAAAAATTATTGAACATTGTCTGTGGGGAATATGTTATTCACACACGTGTTACCCTGAGTATTTTAGA